ATTAAGCTGTGATGTAGATGTTCGGAGTATATGGGATGGGTAGATGGGTAGATGGGTAGATGGGTAGCATACACTCGTCGTAACTTTCGTTGCGTTAGTCATGTAGCTACCAGGTAGGTATTTACTAGCTAAGCATATATGTATGTATGTATGTATGTATGTATGTATGTATGTATGTTGTATGTCTGTCTGTCTATCTATCTACTTATCTGTCTGTATGTAGAAACTACTGGGTAGGTATTCAATACATTGCAATACATCTTGGATCTCTTCCTCTCTTTCCCTCCTTCATTTCACTCAGTCACTCAATCAATGTATCAAACTACCAGCACTCAACTCAGCACATACCAATACTCCTGATTACAATTGCCACAATACTAACACATCCGGATCGATCATCTAAGTTCTACAGGCGCACGCTACTACAAGTCTCCAGTACGGTACGAGACGGAGAATGCCTCAACTTGCCCTTTAATACAATACTCATTACTAACTATTCTTCCTCCGCAAGTACACTACCTCGCCATCTATATAGTAGGTCGTCACATCATTCAATCATTCAATCATTGGCTTCAAATCTTCAAACTCTAGTTGCGACTTACGAGATGAACCCAATATTCTTCTTGAGTCTTGACCTTGTCTCTTGACAGTGGACACCCTTTGAATCCACAAGAATCCACATCTCCAAAACTTAAATCCACAAATCAGGTACGAGATCAAGAATCAATGACTTTTCATCAGATGCATCATGTATGAAAGCTCGTGAGGGAGGAACTTGGGCAATGAAACGAAACAAGAGGCAAAGGGAAAAAAGAGTCAGAGTGTACGCTAATTGTGTTTTTCTTCTTGATCTAGAACGAACCTTATTAACGTCCAGGGAGTCAGGGACCTGAAGAACCCGGCTGGTCGATCAATGTACTACTAGGTAGTAGGTACCTAGGTATCTACCAATGTAGCTGGAGGGAAACATTTGAATGTTCATGCATGCATGAGGTCCCGGTCGATTTTTGTACAGCTGTTTGATGCATGGCATAAAATTTACACACAGGGTTTTAGTTTACCTATACCCGTGCTCGTATCTATCTATGTTCATGTTAGGCCTTTTCAGGGTTCACTCTTCAGTCATCATGGGGATTGGAAGAAGGCGGAAGAAAGATGGACTGTTCTTATGATTTTCTGGCTATGATTTACAGAAAATCATGTTCAATACCACCTACAACCTACACACAAGCTACAAGCTACAAGCTATGAATGCAGGAGTCGGTAGCAGTTTCTGGGATGACGAGAGAGGGAAGTCCCGTAGGATCAAGGTACGAGAAAATATATTAATATCGATTCATGGTTGGTATCTTCCTTGTAATTTTGACATTCATGGATAACAACCTTGATCATTTTAGCAGTGCAAGTTTGGATTCGTACATTTTTTCCCCAGGCTCATTTAAGAATGTACCCATTAGGCTTGCTCTTAGAGTAAGCCTTCACGGCCATCAACCGCCCCGACGATACCTTTCAAGTCGTCACCCTGAATCCCGAAAAGCCTCCAAATCTGGGCATCTGGGGCACAGGGTGACAGGTTGCTACTTTACTTTGCTTGGTGATTCCTGTCTAAATTAAGCCAATCATGCTATAGGTATCTGTATATACACAAGAAACTCAAGCCTACTCCCTTGTTCCTCTACTCCTCATTGATTTTATTGGTTGAATCAAGGTGAATTGCCAGATGGTAATAAACTTGTTCCAGTTACTAGGTAGTTGTTAGCCTTGATTAATGTTCGAGAAGAGACCAAGATTATCACGAACCACGAATCACGAAGCCGTAATCGTCTGTCTATCCACTGAAGCATCACTCAACAATCTCAAAATTATTCTTCTTTTTTCTCTAACTAAGCGAACAGCTCATCTACATCAATAATTTCAATGCATATGCCTGCGGAGTGCATTCCTGTAGGTACGGTACTTACATCACATTTCCCATCCGAATTGTAGCCTGACACGTAAAAAGGTAACAATGCATCAGCAAAAGAGTCGCATACCGAATTATAGAACCACAGGGACAAGGGCAATCTAATCCTCGTGGCAGTGTATGGCTGCATCTGGTATCACCACCTCATTATCACCTTTTCTTCCCTTGCACAAACAATATTCGAATCAAAGCACACCATGGTAGTAAAACTTCCAATTTCTAGATGAGATAGATCTTCCAGAAGCTATCATGCTCCCAATTACCGTACTCATTAGCTCTCTCCACGATCATCTACCACAATTTTTCTCCCAGGTGACCAATATCCAACAGCACGGATGGATCGAAGGCGTTGACGATCCCACAACCGAACGGTCGAAATGCATCCTCGAACCCGCCACACGGGCTTCGGGCTAAAAAAGCAGACCTGACTCCTGAGAAAGCCTAGAAGGGTTTCCAAGCTCCAACCGCTGCGGTTCACGGGTTTCAACGACTCGTGAAATGGTCAGAGGAAATTCCTTTTCGTTTTATTTTATTTTATCTGGCTTCGTTCACCCCGCGTGCTACGATCTGTTGGTTTGCGCATAAGCCTATGGGATGTGCGATGAGTTGAGTTGAGTTGATCCTTCGCGACGGATGTATGTATGTACTATGTATGTATCAATCCACTATACAGCAAGCAGTACAAGGAAATGGAAGGAAGATTTATCGAGTCATTAACTCGTGTGACGAGACTACAGACAGACTGCAGACTACAGACTACATCTACAATATGTATGCTCTGTTGCAAATTGTCTGAGCAATTCTGTCGGTCGTCTTGTATCAAGTAAGCACCACGCATCAGAATTTCATAGAATCGACTACCCTACACTTCTTCGTATCTACGCTCAGAGCCTTTTTCTCTTTATTTTCTTTGCCCAGCCCAGCTCCCAATCTATTACACTTTCCTGTCACCAAAATTGACACCATGACGGGCGCATGCTCCAAATGTCAAACCCTCCCCCAATTAATCCCATAAATTCCAATAAACCATCACCACAAAGCGTACCGGTATCCCATTCCGATAAATGAAAAAATCAATAAAAAAACCCACCCTCCCCCAAAACCCCAAACCCAAAACTTCCCAAAGCTCGGCTTAAAACTCAACACCACACGCATAAAGCACCGCAGTAGGTACATAAACATCGTACATCTCCAGACCGGACCCAAACGTGCCCCCTTCACTCTCGCCCGGAGCATTGTACTCCCTTCCCGGGCGCACGCGAATTCTTTCCTCCAGGGTAAAATTGCCTTATCGCGTTGCTCTTTTCCCTTTTGGTCGTTTATCTCCGATGGCTAGTGGGTAGCGGCTTGGCGAGGGTTTTGGGAGGAAAGCCTGGTGGAGAGTGAAAGAGTCACGCTTGATGGGGAGAAGAGATGTGCGTGCTGTGTCAGTTTTTGATGCAAGGATTTGGGGGTGCTTGTTTGGACTTTGGATTGGGTTGGTTTGGCTTGCTGTCTGCGAGTATGAATGAGTAGAGAACTCGAGAGTGAATCTGTACGCGTTTTTGGGGAGGGGGAGTTTTGTAATTGGTGATTGGATAGGTAGTAGGTAGGTGGGTGGGGATATCCTCAATTTTTACTTGCTTACTTGGTGAAGAATCGATTGTGCTTGTGCTTGTGCTTGTGCTTGTGCTTGTGCTTGTGCTTGAGCTCGTGCTTGATACGAGAAAAGACACATACATACATCATCATGCTACACCACATCGATTCCCCCGATTACCCATTCTCACATCATCAGCAAGAACAGCAACAAAAATAAAGATATCGCGAAAAGTCCACCTCCCTCCCTCCATCCCTCTCTCCAATTTCCAATCCATATGCATCCCTATATCCATCCCCCATCCCTATATCCCTATCCCGCAATTTAATATTTTTATATACTTTATTCCTCCCTCCAGTCACTGAGTGCCCTTCCCCATGCATGCGCAAGCAAACAACACATCGGAGATTTGAAATCACACTTTAGAATTCCCAGACATTTGATAAATTGATCGTGCATTTGCACGCGTAAAATTGCACCGGCTTTTTCAAAGATTCGAATCGATATACTATACTGGACTGGTATAATTACTGGTACCGGTCGAGAAAATAATTGGAGCCCGCAAACGAACACCGTTGAAAACTTTAAATTGTATTTTCAATATTTCAATATGGAAACAGGGATGGGATGGACATTTCCTTGGACAGGGAATGATGTTTTTGTGTTTTTTATTTATTTATTGATTTTGAGAGGGAGGGAAGATTTTGAGTTTGAATTGTTTCGTCATCAGAGACAGTGAGTGAGTGAGTGAGTGAGTGAGTGTCACTCGCATATATATTGGGAAGGGAAAGGAAAGTTTGATGAAGGTTTGGAGGAGATGGGTTGGAGAGGAGAAAGTTTGATATTTTGGGGTTGGGTTGGGTTGGGTTGGGTTGGATATGTCATTTATTGATAGGTGAGTTGATGGTGATGATTTGACGTCGATGATTTTACTTCAAAACGAGTTTTGATTATTTCGTCGTCAGAGACAGTGTCATATACATCGGGAAGTTTGAAGAAAGTTTGGATCTTTGACCTTGGATGAAACTTTGATGGCTAGATGACATGTCATTGTCCATGACTTTGACGTTGACGATTTGACGTCGATGACTTTAAATTTCGCTCTGGTGTTCTAGCTTGGTTTTGGCTTGGCCTGGCTGTTAGATGAAGTTCGTGGAATCTGCTTTTTTTTCTCTTCGCGATTGTCGGCTTGGTGGTGGTTATAGTGTAATCACGAGGTCCTTTGGTTATAATATCTTCGTATTGGTTAAGTACCTCGAGATATACTAGATAGAATCATGAAATTATACTTCAATGGGCAGGTTTTAGCTTGGTGTCTTTTATAAGTATATCTTCTTTTGCAGAATGCACAGTCCCAATGGCAAACGGCACAGTGATCGTCCGCAAGCTTCTTGCCAATACTGATTCTTTCACTACCTTTGGACGATTTACAATACAGTTCAAAGCTAGTTATAAGAACTAGTTGATGTTCTGTTCAATAGGAACATAATACCGCATGGTATTCTTAGGGTCCCACTGAGCTTTAAGTTTCTTCAATCTCTCCAGTCTCCATGTCTCCCACCCATAGATCGCCTGTAAAGACTCATCGCCATCGGCATAGTTGACGTAGGCGCGGAGATGTTCTGGGTCCTCACTTCCATCTAGCAAGTATTTTCGAAGCTTTTCGCCAAATTCCTTTGCTATCGGGTCGATGTTCGAGTCAGGCGCATACATGACGTACGATGTCACCAAGATGTTATCATCTCGGTGCGGAAACGCCGTGCTTGCTGCATCGATGGCTTTAACTGCATGAGTCGAGTAGCCTTCGAGTAAGAAAAATGAGCCAGCTATCTCTGGAACTTTGCGGAATGTTGAGTCGATCTCGTTGTATACCTGTCTGACGGCCGTCACATTGTATGATTTCAGTCCGATAGGGTAGCGGAGGGATGTCATCCCGTAAGCGCATCCTGGACCATCTGCGTCTTGAAATGTGACGACGGCGAGATCATGGAGTGATCCCAGATCAGTCTGTACACTAAGTGGTCCGATGTCATGGAATGGTTTGGCATATCGATTGGCTATTTCGGGAGAACCGTTGTAGACAATACCGAACCACAGAACCGGCTACCAGATTGTTAGCTTTCAGGCAATCCCAAGTGAATTGCGTCGGGATAATACTAACATGATCTGGATCAATCTCTGCAACCTTGATAATATATCCCCAATGAACCAGCTCCGCTGGTTGATCTCGCAATAATCTATTGGCCTCTTCATAGAGAGCCTCAAGCTTATCTCCTGAATAAATAAAGATTTCATAAGACCATAATGGGGCATTATCATCATAAACACGATATTCCCATTCCATCACCAACCCGAAATTATGTCCCGCGCCTCGGATGGCCCAAAATAAATCCGGATGAGTTTTCTCCGATACAGTGACCAGTTCGCCAGAAGGCAGCAAGAGGCGGGCGGAAATTACCTGATCGGCCATGAGTCCGTATTGGCCCTGAAGCCAACCATGACCACCCCCGAGAGTGGGCGCGGAGAATCCGACGAGCTCGCAGAAGCCGGTTACTGGTTGAGTAATTAGTTTGGATTTTCTTGGTTCGTTGGGCATGGCTTGAAGACGCGAATTTACCTGTTCGTTTTCCTAAACGCGTAAGTGCCTCCACGACTTCTTTCACATTTGCACCCCCGCCAATCGTAGCAGTTTGACCATCATCCGAAAGAGTGATGTGGTTCATCGAGCGGAAATCAATCTGGATCGCGTTCTTGGCTTGGCTGAGAACTTGGGTTGCACCGTGACCGCCGGCTCGCGCGATGTAGGGGATGGAATGTTGGTTGGCGTGGCGGCCCTATGGTTTGTGTCGGTATTTGGGTGAGGAGTGATGGGAAGTATATTAGACGTATGTTTTGTGGAGAATTAAAGTGCTTGGAATGGCAATGAGGAAGAATTGCTAACACTTACGATTTTCTGAACGTCGGATTCGTGAGTTACTTGGATGATGAGAATGATATGGGGACTAGAGTATTCTCGCCATCTTGCGAGGAGAAGCGGGAAAGAGGGATGAGAGGGGGGAGGATGGTTGCGTGAGGGGAGAGGAGGGGGGTGAGCTGGAGTTGGTATTCGAGGGCGCTGGACATGGTGGGTGGAGGGTGGGATGGTTGGGGAATTGTTTGGTGGGAATGGAAGGTGGAGATGGCGGTAGAGGTGGAGGTGTTGGTGGTGAGTGGGAGGATTCGAAGATTCGAAGATTCGAAGATGGTAGGAATGTGATAGGGATGGAGATGAAGGAATGGAGGGCTTTTAATAACTATTATATCTGAGGCAGGACTAATTATGGTGTTTTCGTGGGAGAGATCTTCTCGGTTGATATTTTAATTTTTAAGTATTGCATTGTTGCATCGTTGTAAGGTAGGCTTACCAACAATTGGTATATGCACAATTGTAACTGGATATCTAGAAACTAACTCATTCTCCCTACCGAATCACCATCACACAACTACCGAAGAAACTTTTGGAACCATTATGTTGGAGTCGGCACAATATATCAGATTTGGTGGATTTTCTCGGTGCGTCCGTGGATCCAACATTTGGTTTAATAAGTATCTCGCACGCTTGCATAGTACTTAGTTAATGCTCACTGTTGGTTTCCGCTGACCCGAATCGCATGCGGCGTTGCGAGATCGTCATGTGAGAAGTATGAGGTATTTGTTCCAGATAGGATTTGTATATTTTACTTTTGGGGGAGATGGAGATATTTCGGAAAAAGGGAAGGGAGATGTGAATATCTAAGTAGGTATATAGGTAAAGAGATCTTTAAGGGATCATCAGCATGCATGACATCATTTAATTCGTGTGTTCAAGCGAAGGGCGACGCTTTTTGATATTTTTGACATCAATTGTATTAGGTATTCCTGACACTGCGGGAAATAGAGAGGAATGTGAATATGGACTTGTTTCTTACCTGGTGTATGGAAATGATTTTTATATATCGAGTGATAATGCGAAATTTTCTGTATCTGTTAAATGTTCGATTTCACATTTAATTCTCATCTTAAGCGTCATCAAGGGAGCTAGTTTTGAAACATAAGAAATACACGTATAAAAAAATGACATCCTCCACCAAAGGAGAAGAGAAGGGGTAGAATCATTCAATGGACCGACTTGAGTTTTCTCCCGAGATCCCAACTTTGTGAGTGATCTAGAGCAGTATATCAAGGAAAATCCCATCAATTCTCAGACGGGAAATCTTTTCTTTCCAGAAATATTACACTCGGTGAATAGGAAGCGATAGTTTATCAATACCTTATAAGTACCCTACTGGTGAGTCTGACATGAATATATCGAGGGCATACAATATTACATCTTCTTCCTCCAAATATTGTACCATTGATTCGAAAGCTCTTGAGCTGAGCGGGCACCATAGTATCGCGCGCAGAATGTGTGATTGCCAAATCTATCTCCTTTGATTTTTCTTCCTCTTTGCTAGTTGGCACTTTTAATGTGATTGGAAACTTGTACGTTTCATGTTGACTGGATAGTTAATCCCGTGAAGATTTCCGCATAATGCTTCTTCGCGATCATAATCATGATGAAAGGTAGTAAATAGCTTTCCACAATCTCCTCGACGTGAAAAGAAACTCATAGATCCCGTTCGTATTACTGAGTGGGCAAACAGACCATGAATACTTGAGGGTGCTAGAATCGAGCGAACCAGTCAGCATTTATTCACACAATCCAGAGAAATGAATCACGAACGAACGAAGATGGCAGACTAGACTTTTGGTTGCATTACTTAGGTACTTACTTACTATATACCGTAAAGACTAACTGGGTTTGCACCATGCTATCTACAGAGAATTGGATAGATACTATGCTATGCTATGCTGTACTATAACACAGGAAATTGGAGAATATAGATTTAAAAACTCAAATATGTTGTAAAATGATCCCGATGCAATCTCCTTGCCTTTACGCGTCTTGGGAGAATGCTCATGCAGTTGTATCACTATACTATAGAATTATATAATAGGAATTTTCAAGGCCGATCTTGTTCATGATTTTTTCTTTCTATATACAAGTTTTGATCTCATTATATGAGAAGCTCGTCTTTGAAATTTGAAATCTGGAATCTAAAATTCGAAGTTTGGAGTTTGAAGTTTGGAGTTGGATCTTCTCTTCTCTTAAATTATCTACTCCCTCCTCCCCCGGAACCAAAAACCAAATATACCAATCAGACCATCACATCATCTCATCTCATCTCATCCCATATAACATAACATCAACACAACATCTCCCAGTTATCAGCTATCTATTAATACTTAAATAACCCACCATTCGTGATTCAAGCTCTAAAACAAACTAATCTAAAAAATATAGTCCCCAAAAACACGTCCCCCCCACTATCAATATCTCAACATCATGACATCGAATCGCTCGGGATTGTCCTCATGAGAATCATTCCGCATGTCAACATTGTGACGTAAAATCCGTTCGGGGCTGTCAGAAATCCAGATCCAAATCGAAATTCAACCCCACAATATGGTATCATATCATTCCGCATGTCCACCAGACCGCTTTTCAAATCTTGTATCCATTTTTTTTCTAAATTCAACCCAAACCGTAGATACGGACATGGAATCTCTCTGTCTCTCAAAAACAAACCCATACAATCCCCTTCCCGCCCACGTATCCATCCCCTCTCCCCCCTCTCCCTCACCCCCGAAAATTAACCCAACAGATTCCGAAGTAAAAAAGTCTGCAGATCTGCGCCCCCTTCCCTCTTGCAATTTCTGTTGATAGAGGTTCATACATACATACATACATACATGAATTGACTCGTTGTATTCGACAACGAAGATCGTCTGCTGGGTATTCATTGCTTGATTTATGGTGCATCTGGATCTGGATCTGGATGTGGAAGGAATTCTGATTCTGGTTTGAGGCGGGAGAATCGCGGGGAGCAACTCTCGGGGCTTCGGGACTTGGAGTTTGACTTCGGGGTCCGAGATGCGTGGGTGATGATTTGGTGATGGGGAGGGAGATCGGGGTTGAGAGTTGAGAGTTGGGAGGGGGAGGGGGAGTTTGATAGTGGTGGTGATGGTGATGGTGATGAGTACGTGGATGAATTGATCTGTAGGAGGGTAGATCTGTATGATGTTCTTGGGAAGGTTAGAGATTGAGAAGATGAACATGAACATGAAAATGGAAAGATAAATCTGCATAACTAAGATTGTTATAGGCATTAGACATTCATCAGATAGAATAGATAGAACACTGAATACAGCATGAAGAAAACGAATTTGGATATTCGCTGAAAAAACCTAAGTAACAAGAATCATAATTTTCCTCCTCCCCTCTGCTTTTCATCCCCGTTGTCATTTCCCTCCTCTCATTACAAATTCATAACCATCTCATCCCTCATTATCTTCGCCTATCTAAAACTCATCATTGAGAAAGTAAAGAGGCATACTATCCTCCCACATACTATCAGTCAACATGGTCTTGTTTGATCCATCAAAGTTCATCGAGATGATTTGTCCATAAGGCTGGAAGGCATTATCATAGAGAGGACTCTCCTCTCTGAATCCATACATTCCACTGCTGTACAAGATTCTTCCATCGGCGGACCAAACGGCGTGCGCATCATTGGCTCCACTGGTAGTTACTTGTGTGAGGCCAGTTCCGTTAGGGAAGATAGTGTAAACGTCGTAAGAATCGGTAGCTGAAAGATCATCGAAGTTAAGGTGGTTACGACGGGTGAAGACAATGCGCTCTCCGTCTGGAGACCAACCAGGAGTGTTGTCCCAGGTATCGGTCAAGTTTGTGACAGTACCATCAGCAAGGTTCAGAATGCGAAGACCGATGCAGTACAAAGGAGCAGGGCCACACTCTCTGTAAACAATCTTAGTTCCATCGGGTGAGTAAGATGGGAATCCTGCATTGGAAACACCGGCTTCTCCGAAAGTCAATTGCTCGTAGTGAGAGCCGTTAGCTGTTACGCGATAAATCCAACCTGGCTCAATGGATCTTTCGAAAAACCAGTATCCGAGTCCAAAGGTAAGCCATTCGCCATCGGCAGTCCAAGAAGGTTGGAATGCACCTGCAAGACCAGTAGAAGTATCTGAGGACGAGGTTTGGTTTGTGGAAAAGACATCAAAGACCAAATCGAGATCAGTACCATCTGGGTTCATGGTGACAATTGATGAGTTACCGAGTTGTTTTTGAGTGATGGCCAATTTGTTTTGTTTGGAAAGCATGGGGAAGACATCGGTGAAGCGGTATTCAAAATCACCGTCCCAACTGTACAAGGGTTTCTCCATTGGACGGACGGGGGTGAAACTAGTCTTTTCATAGATGACCAGGGTTCCATCTGGAGACCAAGAGGGGTTACGCATATCACCCAGGATGGTGGTGTAGTTCGCAGCACCGGTGCCGTTGTAGTTGATACCAATGTTGTCATCAGTTGAACCCTTGGTATTGAAACCGACAACATCAGCGGTTACGAATTGGCCATTGACTTTGCATCCAACTCCAGAGGTATGGTAAACATAATCCAGTCCGGTAGCAACATCAACTGATGCGATTTGTGTCTCTGCACTATCGACGGAGGTCATGTGGGCGTTGTAGGTGTTCTCTCTAGTCATCTCATAGAATATGATTCGGGATCCATCCGGGCTCCATTTTGGCGATCCAAGAGAGTAACCAGCTTTGGTGACAACTTGGGAGAAGTCGGATCCGTTTGGTCGGATCTTGTAGACGGAAAGCTCTTGGGTATGTTCCCAACCGGTACCGTTGCTGTGTCCGGTCCAAGCGGTGTTACGGTCGGAGGAAAAGGCAATCCACTCTCCATCAGGCGAGAAAGAAGGACGGAAATGACCGTCTGGAAGGGCATTGTCACCAGCTGTGGTGGGTGTGTTGGTTAGGTTAAAGGCAACTCCTGTAGTAAGATCCTTAATCCAGATGTTTGCTGTGAAGTTTCCTTGGGTGGATACATAAGCAAGTGTTGTTCCATCAGGCGAAAGTACACCTGCATCTTCAAAAGATGGTGTTGCAACCAAGGATTCCAATCCGGTACCATCAATCTTGACTCTGTAAATATCCGACTGTCCATCTGCGTTACGTTCAGTGGTGAAGATAACATACTTTCCATCAGGACTGAAGTTTCCGTGATAATCGTAGGAAGAGCTGTTTCCGAGAAGTTCACGTTCATTGCTTCCATCTGCATTGGCGATATATAGAGTAGATACGGATGGAGCAATCCTGTTCATGAACATAACACCCTTTTTACCTGGAGCTACACCACTACCAGCACGAGGGAAATGCTCTCTTGGAGTATCAGAGACACTTCTTCCTGCATAAGGACAAGCGCTCCTCTTTTCTTGAGCATCAGAATATGGACAAACACCAGCTATAGCCTGGCCAACGACCATGCCAAGAGCAGTAGCTGTAGAGAAACGCATCTTCCTGACTTGTCCTTGGCAAAAGCTAAGAAAAATTGATAGTTAAAGAAGGGGATGAGGAAAGGAAATTATTCGAGGAGATAAGATCGACTTTGTATACCTATCTCATAGCACGAATACTAATCCACTATGCATTGTAGGTGTCTTAGCTTTCTTCAAATTATCCAAGGAAGATGTCAGGCGCAGATACTAATACTTCAGACCAGGTTCATTGATGAAATGAAGAGTCTATGGAACGTGCAGAGTATCCACTGCGGGAGTGGTTTCCTCAGTCAGAATGGACGACTAACCCATATATTGGTATGAACACGTCCACTTCATCCCATGTAACGGATGCAATCTAATGAAGGATCGGGCTTTAGAATTTTATCGAATATCCGAAGATACAAGTAATCTGTAAGGCACAGAGCCAGTGAGATCTTCGTGATAGTACCCTTCAAGATAATATTATCATCCCTATTGGCGGAGAAGCGGATGAAAACTCATCGGCAGCTAGACAAGAGTGGAAAAGCTGGGGTTCCCGGCTCCAGGTTGCCTAAGGGTGCCAATTTAATGGCCGCAATCAAGAAAGATCAGCCATTGGAGTTGAAAATTATAAGTGAACGATCTCGGGACCGAACTTAAGTCCTGGTAAATTCCCATGTATATGACCCACTTTATAGAATCCTCAAGCTCATGTCAAGGTCCTGTACAGAAGGTGACACTGAAGGTTCATGCCGCAACAAAATCGTCCGAGATCTAGAACTCATATGTAGGTGTTGTTTCTGATATCGATATCTCATGTATGATATAAGCATGTAAGAAGCTCACCGGTGTACCACGAACGTGTCTTGTAGATTGGATGCGGATTAGCAAGCATAAATCACTTGCCAGATATAGTGATATGCCGCTCACTCAGTGTAAAGTTGAACGTTGCATTTAGATGACGGAAGAGCGTATCCTATGGTTAATGCATTAAACGTGTTGAAAGATTCAAAATATGGGCTCAAAGAAAGCTCCGACAATCGTAGATGTCTTGGCACGTTGAAATAAAGTTAAAGGGGAGAAGACATTTTTGAACTATTGGTAAGAGGTGGGACCGGGATACGTAAAGCTCCGAAGTATCTAAATGTTTCGAAAAATATAACATCATCGGGATGGAAACTTTGAATATAGTTGAATGGTCTCGGGACCGAAAGGAGGAGAGTATTGATATTGTGATAACGTCTAACGTTGCCATAAACGGATGGGTAATACATGATGTGTAATAGATAATGCGGCAGTTCACCGTCAACAGCGCGAGCAGCGTTACATTCGAGTTGACATTTTATCTTGCTTTAGGAAACCCCGACAGCTGCAGAAATCTACCTACCTAGGTACAGAAATATATCCATGTCTCTTATAAAGATACTCGGTACCGTGCAGAGTAGAGTGAGGAGGTAGGTAGATTAAGAAAACTCGATGTTGTGTCTGAGGCATCAATTATTTAGCGACAGCACGTGTTTTTATTTCATTCTTCTCTCGAGTTCGTTTCAATTGTCACAGCACAGACACGAGATGCAAAGTAAAATGCTCGGGACCGGGCGCCTGCTATTTAGGTGATTTTATGCCAGTGTCATGGACTACCTGGTACCGATGAAACTACAGAATAGGTAATGTAACGATGTCTCGGTAGATTGAACCTTAAAGAAAGGTTTGATTTCATTCAAGACCACTTGCAATATGGAAATTGTAGACAACTACTTTGTTGACTACAGTTGGAGTCGACAGAAGAGAAATGAACCGGCAGATGGAATCGATAAATATACAACACGATCTTCGGTATATAAACTTATTATATCAGTGAAGCGATAAGACTCTTACAAGAGGAAGGCACTAAAGTCTACTTCTCACCCAAATCGGCTCGCTTCACAATACTGAACTCGACATTCCCGAGACTTTAGAGGAGAGCAAACATTTGCAAGTATCAAAAAATTTAAGGGCCAAGAGAGAGAGGCTGGTGTTGTGGATTGAAGCCCTAGGTGAACAATCTGATGGTCTAAAGACGATGGAAATCTGGGGGAACGACGGGGATCCTGTTGATCGGCTTACGATAAATCTATATGCAGGGGGTTCTTTGCACGTAAGGGAGAGAGCGAGGAAGGAAACCTTTTCTGTCTGAGTGATACGAGTAGTGGTGGCGGAGGATAAATACGTTATATAAACCAAATGCGGGTTGTTTGTCTATGCTGGCTGGCTGGCTGAAGGCTGATATTCTCAGCCGATTTTTATTTTTGGTTGAGGTAGCTGTGGTTAGACGTGATAACTTGTCCTGGGGCTGGGGCTGAGGGTTTTGGGTGCACAGAGATGATTATCGAGCAGTGAGCATGTCTTCTTGTCTACACAGCCTTTGGAGCAAAGCAGGTACCTAAAACCTCTGATGTTCATTGTAGATATCTAGTAGGGGCGATAATGTTGAACACTCTTGGAAAGTAAGTTAACTTTAGCATTGAAAATATCTTCATCCTACCGAGGAGGGTGGATGGATCATTATACTCATGTTATCTCCCTGCAGCAATTCTCCCCCTTCTCTCGTTACCCCACAATCTCTCGCCTCAATTCTGACCCCCTTCTACTGTTATCTAGATTTTCATGAGACCCTACTAAGAAATATCTAGACCAGAATTTTCAATACCATAAATGAATGGTATCTTTCATATCGCATACCGGTACCTTAGGTAACATACTTGATATGTAACTAGAAGAGTTTTCACGCAAGAAAAAAAAAACCAATAATGAGCCTTCCGGCTAAGTTTCGCCCTACGGTATCGCCGCCATACACATCCTATCAAATGCCTACATATCGAGTCATGATTCGCTCAGTTCGCTCCGTACGTGACCCAAGATGGTTGAGTTGAATCTGGCCGGATGGAAATGAGCCAAACCGATTCGGTGCATACTGGTAGATCGATCTAATAATGTATTGGTTGTGTGAATTATCCAATGCAGGAAGGACATTGAAGAATATATCTGCTAGGTGCCTAGTACTCGTAGATATATTCAATTCACCATACAAAGTTGATACTAGACTTGTTGTATGCGAGAGGTTGATAGAATTTATTATTACAATGTAATATTACCTAGAGACTACCCCCTAGCATATTGATTGTATATCGAATGAGAAAGAATCATGGGATTCACCATTGATCGTGTATGTGAGAGAGATTCATACATACAAATCTCTCTTTCATGGTGGCAAGCCCCCAAGCCCCCAAGCTCGCTGCGCTCGAAATTGTTCGTAGAATATCATTGGTGTATATGGGCTAGATTTACAGATGTACAGATGTGCAGATATACAACTGTAACAATGTTTTAAAACTAAGATCCAAATTCACTTGTGCTTATTCAGCAATATATTATCAACCAACGAGATTCAATTGCCGCCACACACTTTCTTTACGCCACTCAATTGTCTTTCTGCTTCTCACACCGAACAATCAAGCTAAGAGATTAAGCGAGAGAAAACCCTTGCAATAATTTTTTTATCAGTAATGCCACTTCAGAAAATTAAAAGGGTCCAAAAGTCTTCCTCCCTCTGAAGAGAAGTATATCTCTTTTCCTTCATTCTTCTTCCCTTTAGAAAAACACCTCCATCTGTCTTCTTTTTGTCCTCTGAATATCAAGTAGAGACGAACAAAAAGAGTGTGAAAAAAAACACCCTTTCTCAATAAATCTAACATAGAAAGAAATAGAAAAATAAAGGGTTTCTTTATCGAAATCATTCTCTCTCTCTCTCTTTTCTCCGCCACTTTTGCCCACTTTATCTTAGTTTATTGTCGAATCATATATCCAGATTACAATATCTTCTCCACTCTCAACGCACCGATTACTACGGGTAGTTTCGCGCTAAGCAAAAATTTCATTCCCACAAATCCTTATCGACATCTTTTCTCCCCCTCTTCTTCTCTTCTTTTACAATGCCTTCTATCGAAACACCATCGAACCCAACAACAACAGGAAAGATGGCTGAAAACAAGAACTCGATCAAGGTCTTAGATGACTTAATGTCGAAGTTGTCTGTTTCGAAAGAGCAGACTGACATTAACGCTGCCACTCACAACCTCGCCATTTTCATTAATGGTAACATCGAGGAGAATGATGCCCCCACCAAGTATGTATTTCCGACTTCAACATGCAAATTTTCATCGATGGGGAGGGAGAGAATGGATAGGGTGGAATATCTGTCAAAGCCTTCACACTTTAGATATTCTCTCATTCACCTTTTCATATCGATATGCCATCTCACGGTCGCACTAAAATCTGCTTTCAAATTTTTTCATGTTCAGCTTTACTAACAAGGTGTCCTTTGCAGAACTGTCGAGGCTTTGAAGAAGCAATTGGCAAACAAGAAGGATGCTAATGTCAGAGAACGCGCTCTCAATGCCATCCAGGCAATTGCTGAGCACTCCGAAGTCTCTGCCGCCGTCGAGCCATACCTCATTGTCCTCCTCGGCCCCGTCCTCAATTCCGTTGGTGACAAGATGGTCCCAGTCAAGAACGCCGCACAAGCAGCTGCCTTGGCCATCGTTAAGGCTGTCAACCCAAATGCTGTCAAGGCAGTCCTCCCACCTATCATCAAATCTATCCTCGAAGCTCAAAAATGGCCCGAAAAGATGACCGGTCTTGACTGTATCGAGGCTCTCGTCGAGTCCGCACCAACCCAATTGGCTCTCAGAGTTCCAGATCTTATCCCAGTCGTCTCCGAATCTATGTGGGATACCAAGCCAGAAGTCAAGAAGAGAGCATACGGTATCATGGAGAAGGTCTGCGGACTTATCGTCAACAAGGATATCGAACGTTTCATTCCAGAGTTGATCAAGTGTATCGCTAAGCCAGAGAACGTCCCAGAGACCATTCACTTGCTCGGTGCCACCACTTTCGTCACTGACGTTCATGAGCCAACTTTGGCTATCATGGTTCCTCTTTTGGATCGTGGTCTCAGCGAGCGTGAGACTGCTATCAAGAGAAAGTCCGCTGTCATCATTGACAACATGTGCAAGTTGGTCGAGGACCCCAACATTGTCGCTGCTTTCTTGCCAAAATTGATGCCAGGTCTCATCAAGAACTACGAGAACTTGGCTGATCCTGAGGCTCGTGAGAAGACCAAGCAAGGTCTTGACACCATCAAGCGTGTCGGTGCCGTAGGCGCTGATGGAAAGATCCCAGAACCATCAAACGCTGGTCAAGTCTCCACTGTTGAGGCTATCCTCAAGGATGTCCTTAGCTCCAACAAGTCTGCTCTCAAATTCGAGCCAATCATCACATATATCGCCGCTATTGCTGGTCAACTCATCGATGAGAAGGATGCTGACTCCCACAGCTGGACTTCCAACCTCAAGCCATTCGCTGTCGCACTTACCGGCGAGAAGGATGCTCAATCAGTTGTCGACAACCTCCGCAAGCGTGCCTCCCCAGGTGCCGAGGCTGAGGATGCCGAAGAGGCTGATGATGAGGAAGGTGAGGATCTTTGCAACTGTACCTTCAACTTGGCGTATGGTGCTAAGATTCTCCTCAACCAAACCCATCTCCGTCTCAAGCGTGGTCAACGATATGGTCTTTGCGGTCCTAACGGTTCCGGAAAGTCTACTCTCATGCGTGCTATCAACAACGAGCAAGTTGAGGGTTTCCCAAAGAAGAGCGAAGTCAAGACTGTGTTCGTTGAGCACGATCTCGATTCCGCCGATACTGAGCAAACCACCATTGCTTGGACCATGAAGAAGCTTAAGGAGGTCGGTGTCGAGACTTCCCAAGAGGAAGTCGAGAAGCAATTGTCCGAGTTCGGTTTCACCCCAGAGATGACCAACAACTTGATCACTGCCCTCTCCGGAGGATGGAAGATGAAGTTGGCTCTTTGCCGTGCTGTTTTCGAGTCTCCAGATATTCTCCTTTTGGATGAGCCTACTAATCATTTGGATGTCAAGAACGTCAAGTGGCTCGAGGAATACCTCCAAAACTCCCCATGTACCTCCATCATCGTTTCCCACGACTCCGCTTTCTTGGATAACGTCTGTCAACACATCATCCATTACGAGCGATACAAGCTCAAGAGATATCGTGGTAACTTGAAGGAGTTCGTCAAGAAGTGCCCACAAGCTAAGTCTTACTACGAGCTTGGTGCTTCCGAGATGGAATTCAAGTTCCCAGAGCCAGGTTTCCTCGAGGGTGTCAAGACCAAGGCCAAGGCTATTGTTCGTGTTAGCAAGATGTCCTTCCAATACCCAGGTACTCCAAAACCACAAATTTCCGACATCTCCTTCCAATGTTCCCTCGGTTCCCGTATTGCCGTCATTGGTCCTAACGGAGCTGGTAAATCCACTTTAATCAACGTCCTCACTGGTGAACTCATCCCAACTGAAGGTGAGGTCTACACCCACGAGAACATACGTATCGCCTACATTAAACAACACGCTTTCGCCCACATCGATCACCATCTCGAGAAGACCCCATCCGAATATATTCAATGGCGTTTCCAAACTGGTGAAGATCGTGAGACTATGGACAGAGCCAACAAGATCGTCACTGATGAGGATGAGAAGGCTATGGACAAGATTTACAAGATCGAAGGTACTCAACGTCGTGTTATTGGTATCCACTCCCGTCGTAAGTTCAAGAACTCTTACGAGTATGAATGTTCGTTCGCTCTCGGAGAGAACGTTGGCATGAAGAACGAGAGATGGGTTCCTATGATGACTGCAGACAACGCATGGATCCCACGTACTGAGATCTTGGCTTCCCATCAAAAGATGGTTGCTGAAGTTGATCAAAAGGAGGCTCTTGCCAGTGGTCAATTCAGACCTTTGGTTAGAAAGGAGATCGAACAGCACTGCGCCAACTTCGGTTTGGATGCTGAGTTGGTTTCTCACTCCCGTATGTTGGGTCTCTCCGGAGGTCAACGTGTCAAGGTCGTTCTCGCTGCTTGCTCGTGGCAACGTCCTCATTTGATCGTTCTTGACGAACCTACCAACTACTTGGATCGTGACTCCCTCGGTGCCTTGTCTAAGGCTCTCAGAAGCTTCGAGGGTGGTGTTATCATCATTACTCACAGTGCTGAGTTCACCAAGAACATCACTGAGGAAGTTTGGGCTGTATTGGACGGAAAGATGGTTGCATCCGGACACAACTGGGTACAAGGTCAAGGATCTGGACCTCGTCTCAAGGGAGATGATGCCGAAGAAGAGGAGAAATTCGATGCCGTAAGTTTAAACCACCGCATTATTATTACTAAACATTCACTAACACTTTATTTAGATGGGTAACAAGATTGTCTCCACCAAGAAGAAGGCCAAGCTTTCTTCTGCTGAACTCCGTAAGAAGAAGAAGGACCGTATGGCCCGCCGCAAGAGAGGAGAGGAGGTTTTCTCTGATGAAGATGAATAAATGTTTACGTCATAGATGAATGATGGTGGTTGGTGTTTGTGGATAGACGAAATATTTAAAATGGATGGGCAAGACAAAGGAAACTCGGGTCACGAAAAGAATTTTCGAGTTATTTTTGTTTTTACTTTTCACTCATGGTTTGGCACTTTAATTGGTCGTCATCATAGTGTATGGTCTTTGGCGTTTATTCGTTTTTACCTCGACTACGAATCTCTTTTTTTTTTACAAGATTGAAATTATGAGTTTCGGTCTAAGACAAAATTTTATTAGTTACCATGTATGCACCGCATATTAGAAGATAGATCGGAAATAGATACTTCGAGATGCATGTTTTGATTAATAGTTTGATAATTGGTGATCTAAGACTTGTGAGAAATATGTGTATGCGAAAATAAACCTGAATGATATTTAACTGCCCCTATTTGCTGCGACCAAGATGCTAATTATGTCCATGAAAGGAACTTCAAAGATTAAATGCACAAGATGAATACCCCTTTCTAAATCACTTCTGGATAGCCAGAAGGTAGTATTATGTTTCTCACTAGACCATACATCAGATTGTGTTCGACTTGCATGACTACTTATTAGTTACCGTAGCAGTACCAATGAGATGTACTGCTGGACCGACTTGGAATGGCATACGGATAGATGGAGTTGATGGATGGAGCTAATAGAGGTATAGAGGCTTGAGAATTGAGGTTTGAGGGTAGGTTTATGTATGCGGTTTAGTTCTTTGGGCTTGTAGGGGGGAGGGGGGGATGATGATTGAAGGTTGGGTGGGTGAGAAGGTGAGAGGGTGAGGGAGCAGAAAAAGGAGGGGATGATGTATGATGTATGATGTGGGATGTGTAGTCGTAAAGGAGGGGGGAGGAGGAATTTTGAAAGGGGAGGGGGGAGAGGGGATTATGGGATTGTGAGATTACGAGATAAATGTGTTCTGGAGATTGGAGGGACTGGGTGGGAGGATGGGGAAATTTTATGGTTTCTTTTTTATGTGGATGTTGGATGTTTATTTATGTATGAGTATTGGGTGAGTGTTGGCGTTTGATTGGAGATGGGGCGAGGGGATGGTGAGATGTTTACCTACTGTGTGGATAGAGGGATGCATGCATGGATGGCTGGAATATCTGATATGATTTGTATATCATTTGATAAGCTTGTGGATTTTATCATTCTCTTTCCTTTCTCAGGCTTTTCTAGTCTTCCCTTCTTCCCTTCTTCCCTTCATTTTTCTTTCTATAAACAGAACTACATCTACTCCACTCCCCCACTCCCCACTCCCCACCTTCCCTTCCCTCCTCCCTCCTCAATCCTCCCCCCTCGCAAACTGCGCATAATACACCTCCCTTGCCTCCTCTGGCGCCCCCTCAAGCCGTATCGCATCTTCTACCTGTTCCATCTGCAGCGCGAGGAAGTGGATTGCTCGCTCCCTCTCTTTCTTATTCTTCTTCTGCTGCTGCTGCTGCTGTGACAAATTTTCAGAATGTTGGATACCAGGTGGTAAGGGGAAATGATCAGGATTCCGAGTCGAGGCGCGAAGAGCGAGGATGGCGGAAATGTATTGGGTGGGTGTGAGGGGGTTAGCGAGAGGGGCTGGGAGGAGTTGTGGGGGTGGGGGAGAGACATTTGGAGAGAGCGTTGATGGGATTATACGGTTTGGGGAAGGCATTTCAGGGTTTGGGTTTGGGAACGGTGGTGAGTTGGGGTTGGGGGTGGGGCTGCTTATATCTGGCGATGTATCTGGAGATTCGGATATGAACGAGTATCGAGTGCGAGGATGGGGACGGGGAGGTCCGTTTTTGCGTAAGCGGATTTTTCGCTGTTGTCTGGGAGGATTGGGGACGTAGTGGTCGCGGGTTTTGCGGTTATGATTTTCACTTTCTTGGCTTCTCCAATTATCTCTGTGGGTTTGGGATTCAGAGATGGGGTTTTGGAAGCGAAGTTCTTGGTGCGCCTGTGTCGTTTGAGTCTCCAGTTCTCTCTGCTTTAACTCAGGAAGAGGGATTTCCATGAACGTGTTGTTGAGATTTCCATTTTTCAGCTCGGCGAGACGAGTAGGTGATGTGATGATGCGCAGATCGGGAAGTCCGCGACGTCGTTGACGGAGGGAGTGAGGAGATATTGAGTTTGTTTTTGTTGTGCTGGAGGAATTTGAAGAGGGGAAGCGGTTCTGCTGAATGTTGGACTGGGGGTTTGAGGGGGTAGGTGGATAGGTAAGGTGTTCGTTTTCTGGGAAGTGCGAGGGTGTATTGTGTCTACTCTGTGAGTTTGCAAGTTCATCTTCTTCAGATTGGGACTCTGGGTTAGAGGCTCGGAGGTGGAGATTTGGCTGTACTGCTGTTGTCTATTAGTATTCCGTCATATTCATAGGTGTAGAATTCCCCTTCTTCCTCTTACGAAGAAAAAGATAAGAAATGCATACCATTCGACTCTCTCCTTGACTTGCGTTTCCGAGTTCCAGCACTTTCCTCCTCTGTAGCACTCTCCGTCATCGCCCTCGGATCCGAAAACAAAGTTCCATTTTCATGCAAAGCAACCAGATCAGGGAGAGGTGCTCGATCCGGAAGATGTGAATATGGTTTTCGCCGAAAACGCGTAGTTCGGGATATGGAGTTGCGAGACTTGGGCATGTTGAGGAGTTGATCGATTAAAAGGTAAGGTGAGTAAGATTGCTGGAGCTGCGAGAAATGACTTGTAGTAATGGTGGGAATAGAGCGTGTAAGTTGTGAGCGGTACCAAATCGATATTTTTTATGTGGGATCTGGAAGTCTTGGGAGATGGGTAAATATAGGTTTGTATACCGCGAGGTATTGTGTGATTCAAATAACAAGATACGGCGTGCTCGAGAGATTTAGTCTTGAGATACTGTGAGTTATTGAGTGGAAGTAGAGAGATGTTCTGTGGGTTCGTCGAGGTGTTGGCTTTGAGATCGGGGTGTGAACAAGTATAAAGAAATCCATTGGTCACCAATTTTATTTCCAAAAATGCGGTCCGCAATTTGTAGGCCGTATTGCTATTTAATAATTTCCTGGATATGACCAGGCAAGAAAATGGGTTCCTGTTAAGAAAGATCTCTGAATGAACACCTTGAACAAGAGTGACTAAGCGAGATTCACTTGAGTGTGTATTGGTTTCTTTCTCATCTGACTTCCTCCGCTTAGATACCGGTTGTTCATTATCATTCACAAACAACAATGTCTGTTTAGGTATTTGGGCAACTTCTCTATCCTCCATGAGACATTTTTGAGGTATACGTACTAACTTGGATTCGAGGCTGGTTCAATCTGGGCAGATTCCTTGGTCTCCAGCGTAATCTCATTCACTGACTTCCATCGTCAACTTTGATGCATGATGGAATCAAAATTTAGGATCGTTTCAAGTCATATGGTCAAGACTTACCATGTGGCCACCATGTCAATAATTCATTTCGTCAACACATGGGTGAATTGTTCTTGTCAGGTAGAAGACTTAATATTCTGTGCACATCTAGCCCTTACTTATTATTTCAGCATCTTTCACTCTTTACTTTAGTATATCGCAGTGTTTCGTTTCAATTTCATTAACAATGTCACATTCTAGTCCCTCTGAAAGTTCCCATATTGTCTTCAAAGTCCAAAACATAAGCGAGGCTACTACAACTCTGTCTTAAAACCACCAACAATCATGTCTAACCAAGCCGCCAACCTTTTGGTATAATTAGAATTGTGTTTTCCAAATTAGTAATTGGGATGACTAACCTATAGCCCGCCCTTGCAACTTGCAGTTGAATAACTGGCACAGACGTATCATAATACTCACCACTTAGCTCCTTGCCCTGCAACGCATCTGCTCCATCTGGCATGACCGTTGTACAGATAAAAGCATTTGAATCTCTAGCCCAACCCAGGGCTGTTGTCAATGGATCACTTATATCCATACCCTCGAGCCATGATTGTGCTTGGTCTTGATACACGCCAGTATTAATAGCGGAGGTCAGCACGTCTGCCCAGTCATGAGCATCACTCATCGAATAACCTCCAACAAGTTTTTCGGGTATGGCTGAATCCCAAACGTGATGAAGATTGGTATCTTTGCCAGCCCAATTTACAGCGATAGTGTTTCCTCCCACATCGATATTCTCAGCATGAAGAGGCTGGTGAATGTCTCCCACAAACTGATGGATTGGTAAGTTAACCCAAAAGAACTCCGAGGTGAAAACTTACGTGGACGATGAACTATTGTATAAATATTAGTAATGCTTAGGGACAGATGAATCTTCCATACCTTTGCAGCAACATACTTGTCATACCTCACAGCATTTGGGTCAAGCAATTGGTTCGTCTAAGGTTTCGATTAGCTTGACTTTCATCTTAGTTTCTTGAGCACAAATATGACTATACGTCGTTGCTGCTGTTGATCTTCGTATCTTTGAATATCTTCAAAGCTTCCTCATACCTAGCCAAAATCAAGTACTTGTAGTGTACGATGACTGTGACGAGAGGCGTGTGTTCTCGACATGTAATCACGGAAACACATGAAGCAAGACCATCAATACCTACCACGCCTCATCAGAAGCTTCAGAAAGTTTTACTCACAAAATTCAAAATAGCTCCAACCACACACCCTTCCTCCCCACAGTCCCTGGCAAACTTAACTCCACAAGCTAGACAACACCTCAGCATCAGCATGACTCCGTCAATCCAAAGGCTCTCGTTGTCACTAATTCTGTATCCTCAAGACTTTCCAAAAGGAAAAAGAATACTAACATCTAGGTACATCATCCATCGCATCGATAAAATGCCAAGCGCCTGTATGCTTTCCCGCCTTGGTATATCTAAAACCAAATCAGTACAAGAGGAATCATTAGATTTCCAGAGAGATTACCTGAAGCTATCAGCCCACTAACCCCTCGAAAGATTAGCAAATGGTCTTAAAAACAGCCAAATCCCTTCACACAGCTTCATTTCATCGGAATACATAGAAAACAACAATCCCGATTACAAAGATCTCTCTCCCGATATCCTTACCGTCGCTACCCCTGCCAAATAACTCTCCGTTTTATTTTTCAGCAGTGTTTGGAAATAATCTCTAGTTTCATCTGCTACAAAATTCGTAGCTACGTATGCTACGGTTTGGTGACCTAATGTTCCCCATGCATATGTTGATGGAAGAAGATGACTCAGACACAAAAAGATGAAGGGATTGAGTTTCATTTTGATTATAGGATTAGGAGAGAATGATAAAATAGTGTATATGAGGAAGGGTGGATGAGAGGAGTTGTGTTGTATTATACAACATGTAGGTATTTATTCTTATCGAACGAGACATTGAATCGGTGAGTCTTGTGATGAAGTGACGATTTACTCGATGTGGTTGGCTTGTGTCAATTGTTGTCGTGGGGACTGGTAGATTAACCAATCATGATTGATGTCCGAGCGGCTAGCTCCAGGGGTTCTTTCCTGCTTCACAGCCACACCGGTATGTTGATATCAGTGAACTTTATCATCTTTCTTCTAACTCCCGGTGAGCTATCGCTTTCCTACTGTACTCGGTAGATAAAAAGGAAAGTAACAATATTAACTGAGTTCAAATAACGAGCTCTAATGGTATTAACATTCTGCATCTTATCCTTTGGGGGAATCGTCAAAGTCAAGTCAGAAAGCACAAGAAAAGTGGTAAAATATTCACGTTCATTAAGAGGCAGCAATTTGCAAAGATACCAGGTGGCCCGGCTGTTGCTCCTTGAAGGAGGCTTCAATGCCCAAGCTGTCACCGACTTCATTCAAATACGTTATCATTCATGTCGTCAATACTTTACTCTTTCATTGTCTCCTCTGCCGAATCCATACATATTGTATCATCCGCGGGTATTTGCATCCTCGCGTTGACCAATTTCTTGCTGGAAGGTCACGGGAGAAAATTCTTGCCCTAATGGGGTTTCCTTAGACCTGACTGGGTCCTTCTGATACTTATCACCATAGATCTTGTTAGATTCTTGATCAGTAACCATAGCATCATTCTTATTCAATTCAACAGCATCATTCTGGCCAACGCCTTGCTCATAGTCAGCAACCATGATATCAACGATTTTCTTCCATTCTTCATCTCCCCCATGGCATCTGCGCCATAAAGAATGCCATTGCCCGGTTTTCTCAGGATTCGCAATTGCTTCTTGCTCGATGCCCTTCTCCGCAACCATCAAACAAGCTTTAATAGCTTCTGCGACATCACCTTCTAGTTTCACAGAGGGTTCTTCACGGTCTAAGTCCTCAATCCAAGTGTGTAATGCTTTTATACAGAGTTTCTGATGCCCCGTCTCTGCTACCCTCTGAAACACGTATGCATACATGTCGGCTGATTGTGATTTGGATTGACGAAGAGGCAATCTCCAAATATCCCAAAAGGCTACCCACTGTTCATTTCGTGCATATAGTTGCATCAGTCGCATTCTAGATTCATCTGAAAAGGGAGGTGACTCGAGGCTCATCATTAGAGTATGGATGCGACGCTGAATTGGCGACATTGCTTTTGTGGGTATTCCGAAAGAATCATTAACAGTCGCTTCTGGTTGAACAGTTGTGATTTCAAGGTCTGGAATACGTTCTGTGGCTTCTTGTAAAGTCACGAACATTTCTCCGGTAAAAATCTTGTGACCGCGTCTGTACATTGTTTGAATGACCTTTAATGCGAGCCGGGCATTAAGGCGTGAAGGAGCGGAGTTCGTGTCTGAAGGGCCATGGACAGGTTCAAGTATGGTACGTATGATTCTGTGGTAATATTCATCAGATATATCACTATCGTCATTTTTCTTTCTTTCAAATCTTCTGAACAAGTTTATTAAATTCAAGGTATGAAACCAAGGGTGTCCAATATCTCGAGCATGATGGAATAGCCAAAAGACATAATCCCACCTGAATGGTGCGGAGTGGTGGGGGTCTCCGACACCGGCCACAACATCTTTAAAACACTCGAGGAAGGATGTGTCCCCAGGAGTATATCCTTTGCCCAAATCAAACATTGCCTGTTCCTCTGAGACATTCTCAAGATACATCCGCAAGTGGTGCAACAAGAAACTTTGCCAATCCAACTCTACGTTGTTAGCACAGTATTCCAAAACACTGTTTTTCGCCCTTTCGAATTCACCAAGGGAGAAGTCGGAAAGTACTGATTGCTGAAGTTCTGTTAGTCTTTTGTTTTCAATTGATCCGTCTTGTTGTGGTGAGGATAAGATACCGTCTGGGTGTTGGCCCCTTGGATTGTCAGATTTTCTTTCTACCGAAGTATGAAATTGCCGAGTCTGAGGGATTTGAAAACCTCGAGGTTTAACGGTTGGTGCTGCAGCATGTTGTAAAGGTTGAGAAATCGATGCAGATGTTGCTTCTCCGACCTCCGCATCTTCAACTACCTCTTCAACTTCAACTTCCGACTGACCAGACCTTCGCAAAATTCCACCCCATAACTTTTCTAGATCGATCTCTTCTCTTTTCTCTTCAGTAAGCATTTGAACGACAATTCTGACACCATCGGTCCGTCTTCCAAAGCCTACAAAGCCATCGCCTTCGGGTGTAGCATTTTCATGTATATCTGGGCTCTCAACCACACCTATATCAACGCAAACCCAACCCGTTCTTATGCCATCATCGCCACTCTCATCACCCACACTGCCTAGAAGCTTAGCTCTCCGTGATTTGCGTCTCAACTTCAATTTCAATTCATTTCTTCCCAATAGTCCATCTGCGCTTGGCCGTAATTTATATGTACTTCTCAACCACCGACACAATCGATCGGCAGAGACATGTAAATGCTTTTCACTTCGTGCAGTTCCAATAAGCATTATCAAATTCGCTCCTAGTGCAGGTGGAGGGTCAAGCTTTCGTAAATCTAGTATCGTAAGATTGTCGAGGCCTAAGTCGACCGAGATCTCTTGTAGCATAGGTTCGAGTATCGGAGGTGGCAATTCTGGTAGATCTGGAATTCTTTGACGTTCAGAAAGGGTTTGAGGCGTTTTTTGAGGTGCTTCAACTTGTAAATACCATGGCACAGCAGAAATCGAATTCTCGGCCTGTTCCCCAATTGCCTGGTTCTCATCCAAAAGGTCTCGATCTTCCAGAATATCCTGATCTTGGAGATTTTCATTCTCGACCTCCTCTTTATCTGCCTTGTCCCCATCTAGAACCTTCCGGTCTTCCGAATTCTCCTCATGCTTGGAAGTATCATCCTGTTCGATCAATCGTGAATCGGATAGAAATCGAATTTGTTGCCTCGGAAGCTTATGCGCCTGAAGTTTCCCAGATGCTGGCATAGTTCGAATTGGGAGCGACACCACATTTCGTAATAATGATAAGCGACATGATGCGCACCCAGTAGCTCTTATGGCTTTACTAACAACCATACTGAACAATTGGTAATGTTTGTAAACATTCAACTATAGCATGAAGGATTGTGGTTTCCAATTGCCTGGGTTAGACATTTTTTCCGGGGAAGATTTTAGCGAACATGCATCCAGTGAGATCTCGCGGGGCTACCGTTTTGTTGTAATTCCCCCCGAGTAGGTACTGGTAGATGGGCATAGATTGGAGGATTAGGTACGCTTGTGTAGAATAGGTAGGTATACTACCAATTAATCAAGGGATGGTTGAAAATCAATGATTTCCTTTTAGGTTCTGATGAATTGCCAAAATAATACCTACCAGTAGTACCTGACATACAATGTCGAAAGAATGTAGAGCAGACTTGAGCGTAAGGTTAGTCACGTGGTGATATACGCAAGGCTGACGAAGTAGAGCTTTTATCAGTCTGTAAGGCGAGTAGTCAGCTAAGCTGACAGATACTTATAATTGGCTCAAATCTCACAAGGCTGATCGGCTCGCTGACGGCTAAATTCCGGACACAGCTGATTGGACTCTTATCGAAAGTGACCCCTGTAACAGTTTCTGCTTATCCAGTCGGTACATACCAGGTCCAAACCGAAGAAAAAAATGTTCAATTTTGCCTTCAAATTGTGACCTATCCATCCTTCGTTCACACATTGATCTCTAGATCTCAAAAGCATTGTACATTTACTATTTGTGAATTGTACTGATTATGAGCGCATTAGTTTTGTCCTTCGAATTTTAAAGATAGTTTTTTTCATACCACTCTTTTTTCTGTATAATCTTTTTCTTAGGATATAACTCTGTTTCCCCTCCTTCGAGTTTATCCTCTCCATCTATCAAAAATGCTTGTCCGAGCTGCAGGGCGAAAAGCTCGTGGCAACCCAATTGCTGATAGACTTAAACGTCAACAACAAGCATATCTTCCTTTTCTATATCCAACTATCCACTCGAATCAAGTTGTGGCATGCCGGAATATTAATGTCGACTCAGGGCATCATGCGACTGGTTTGCGGAGAAGACGAAACTCGAGAGACAATGCTACAAAACCTCCATCGCGGTCATTAGCAACGGCCATAAACCAGCCGTTCGAAGAGATTCCCTTCGAAGGGTTACATAATTCATCATCGCACAATTATGCATCATTGCCATTCAGTATACCAAAACTTCAGTCGCCAATCATAATTCCGGATGACAGCGCGGGAGCTCCCATAAGACATCGGCGTGGAGGTAATGATGCGGTCGGCGGTACTAGCGATGAAATTATAGCATTACTCATTGCTTGCCTTCAAGTTGGGAGAATAGAGCGTGCGAGTGTGATTTTTAAACGCCTGGCACAAATGGAAGAAGTCGACAGAGAGACACTACTACAATTACAAAACCAATTCTTACGTGCTGCAGTCCACGAGATTACGATGAAGCCCTCAGAGCAAGCGACACAGTTTCTGCACAAGTGGTTCGAACTCGAAGTACGAAACAAGAACCTTCCACAAGATGCCTTGACTGTAGCATATATGCTGAAGGCTTCACTTCAATCGCCTCCAGGTCAACGACGTGATAGACTGGTATCAAGATATATGGATATGGTCCAAGGAGAAGCTGGTTTGGAGGTTCTAGCATGTAACGTTTTGCTACCCCACGAACTGGACATCATCAACCATATTTGCCCCACATACAATCTAGCGGAGGGACTTGGAGATCTTCAAGATATCTTTGTCTCTGAGACGCCCAGAGCAGTAGATCCTTCCGACGGAGTTCTACAATATGTCGAAAAAACAGGCACATCAGTTCCGGAAGTTCGCCAAACCGAACAAAAGGGTCTTGGACTGAAGTCATTGAGAAAAACCTTGTCGCTTTTTTCTTCTCTACCATCTGCAGGATATGATATGTCAAAAATGAGTGAGGAACAGCAGAGGGCTATCCAGGCGCAATTAGAAGAAGATGCTGTACAGGCTGCCATAGATCGTTGGAAGGATGAGAGCGTGAATTTGTCAAAATTAGGATTAAATACCTCACTACAATCGAAATCACTAGGAGCGAGAATGTGGAAATGGCATGTAGCTTTGACAGATGCTCTGAAAGAAGAATTAAAAGCCATCGACGAAGCAGAAATGAAGCAGCAACGAAGCGCAGCAGATATAAGCAGATGCGAATACGGGCCCTTTTTACGCTACCTCCCAGCTGAGAAGCTCGCAGCGCTGACAATTATCGCTCATATGCACGCGTTGTCGTCTTCAGGAATTGACAAAGGACTTACACTATCATTTTCTATCTTGCAAATCGCTAAAAGTGTAGAAGATGAGAGCATTTTCGAAACGATACAGAAAAACATGGCGAAGCCCTCGTGGTCCGACAGCGTAGCCGACAGAGTTCGAATGCTTCGAATTCTCAAAGCGAGAGCACGCGGTGCTAGCGAAGAATTGATTGATAACGACGACTCTCCAAGCTTTTCGCCTGATGCTTTTGTTTCTTCGCAAATTCGTGCGCATGAGTGGTCTGTTGGAATTAAAGCCAAAGTTGGATCTTTCTTATTGGAATCTTTACTGAAGGTTGCAAAAGTTCCAGTTACAATGATACACCCTGAAACCAACGAGACTGTTACTCAAATGCAACCTGCCTTTTCTCATGCCCAGCAATACAGAATGGGTAGAAAGCTCGGTGTGATCAACGCCAATAAAGTCATTGTTGATCAGCTCAAGCGCGAGCCTGTTCACAGCCTTCTTGCAAAACATCTTCCCATGCTTGTAAAGCCCGAGCCATGGACTGGTTTTAGTTCTGGTGGCTTTCTTAAGCATCCCGGAAGGGTCATGCGCGTTAAGAATGGAGATGCAGATCAAAGAAATTATGCGGATGCTGCTATTGATCGGGGCAATTTATCAACAGTTTTCAAAGGCCTCAACATACTGGGAGAACAATCTTGGAGAATCAACCAGCCAGTCTTTGATATTATGCTAGAGGCATGGAATTCCGGTGACGCAATTGCAAACCTTGCTCCGGACAAGCCAAAACTAGATTACCCCCCCGAGCCCGAGACCTCTTCCGACCCACTCGAACGCCGAAGATGGGTCACTGCAGTCAAGAAAGTAGAAAACTCTAAGTCGAGTTTCCATTCTCAACGTTGTTTCCAAAATTTCCAACTAGAAATCGCTAGAGCTCTGCGCGATAAAACCTTCTACTTCCCACATAACGTGGATTTTCGTGGAAGAGCATATCCCATTCCTCCCTACCTTAACCACATGGGAGCAGATCATTGTCGAGGGCTTATGATGTTTGGGACTGGGAAGGAACTTGGTACTTCTGGTTTAAGGTGGCTCAAGGTTCACCTCGCCAACGTATACGGGTTCGATAAAGCGAGTCTTCAAGAGAGAGAAGAATTCGCAAACAAAAATATAGACGAAATCTACGACTCGGCAACAAACCCACTGGGAGGCAAAAGGTGGTGGCTACAGGCCGAAGATCCGTGGCAATGCTTAGCGGCATGTATGGAATTCAAGAACGCGCTTGAATCTGGAGATCCAGCTAGTTTCATTTCATATTTACCTGTTCATCAAGATGGTACTTGTAATGGTCTTCAACATTACGCAGCATTAGGTGGTGACGTATGGGGTGCCCAGCAAGTCAACCTCGAGCCTGGTGATCGCCCGGCGGATGTCTATACTGCAGTCGCAAATCTCGTGAAGGAGAGTATCGCAAAAGATCTGCTTGCCGACCACCCCAAAGCCAAAGTTTTGAGCGGGAAAATAACCCGTAAAGTTGTCAAACAAACCGTTATGACTAACGTCTACGGAGTCACCTTCATTGGAGCTAAAGCACAAGTCCGAAAACAACTTGTGGCAGCTCATAAAGATTTGCCTGATAACGAAGAAATTAATCCAGGGACTCTAGCATCTTACGTAGTCACTAAGATCTTTACCGCTCTTTCCACTATGTTCAAGGGGGCTCACGACATTCAGTACTGGCTTGGAGATTGTGCGTCCCGAATTTCAAATAGTCTAACACCTGAGCAAATTGAGAGGATAGTCGCAAAAGCCTCAGAGCAAGGAGGACGTACTTCTAAACGAGCTGCATCAAGTTTAGATGACATTTCTCAATTTAAATCTAGTGTGATTTGGACGACACCTTTGAACTTGCCAGTTGTCCAACCCTATAGAACTCACAAATCACGGCTAGTGCGCACAAACCTTCAACTTCTCAGCTTATCTGAACCGCATCGATCGGATCCCGTCAGCAGTCGTAAACAACTCCAAGCTTTTCCTCCCAATTTCATCCACTCTCTAGATGCAACTCATATGCTTCTTTCAGCAGTGAAATGTAGTGAAGCAAATTTAGCGTTTGCGGCTGTTCACGATTCATTTTGGACACACGCCGCTGATATCGATACGATGAACACATTTTTGAGAGATGCCTTCATCGAGATTCATAGTGACGATGTTATTGGACGCTTGGCAGCGGAAATGGCTACTCGGTACAAGGATTACATGCAGCTTGTGAAAGTCAAGCCGGGAACTCTAGCGTACACTAAGATTTCTCAATATCGCAAATCCCTCAAGACAACTGAGAAGGATAGAAACAGCGATTTATTGAGGGAGGTAAAGAGGCTGCGCCTTCTTAATTCATCTAACCCAGAAGAAGTAGAAGAAGGGAAGCGCATGGTTACATCAGCTAGTATATACGAAGTTATGACGGGTGAGGCCGAGTTAGATCCGGAATTAGATGTTAAAACCGTGGGTTTGGGAAACATGGTCAACTCAAGGTCAGCTAAAGAGCATGACACTGTATCCAGCTGGGATACCGGTGCTACGGACGAAGCTCTAGAGGAAGCTATTGAAGATAATACGAACATTGAATTGGAGGCGGCGGAAGAGATTTCAGAAGAGGCAGAATTAGAAACCGCACCCAAAGATGGATTTGAGACCTCAATGAAGCCGAAGTCTCGACCAAATCAAACACCCCAATTGGTTTGGCTTCCATTGAAGTTCGCCCCTATTCCTAAGAAGGTAAGCACACATTCTAAACTATAATACTGGCTCAGTCTGGCTGACGACTAATTTTCATGCAGGGAGCTTTCGATGTGACACGTCTTAAGCAAAGTCAATACTTCTTCTCTTAGTTGAGTTAACGATTATCATGGATTTGTTTCGTCTGGGATATGATTTCGGGTGCCGGCTGCATTCCGGTAAGGCGGGCTTTGAAGAGCAGGATACACATTTTGGATTGAATTCCTCGGCAGATCCTTTTATTTTAGCATAGCGAGGGCGTTTACATTACAAGGCGTTGAAAACTAATGAAATGGCTGACAATGTATGATTAACGTGTAAGCTAACGGTTCTTCCTTCATATAAAGGAATTGTATAGAACAAGCAAAATCAGAAAATATCTTATCCACAAATATGGCGAACATATTGCTCTTTTGAAAGTTACAGTTTACTCTTAACAGGCTGAGCCTCCAAATCCAGGTTCAAGCTTCCATCTAGTTATTTCATAAGGCGTTCGTATCAAACCAAATAGCAAACGTGATGACACTCCGGGAGAGCGATCTTAATGTCACACGAAACACTTGAATACGAGAATTGATTCGCGTAAGCAATGTCAATTTCTCATGACACAAATAACGAGATCGTACAAGCCCTTTCAGCTGACGATCTAGCTCGGTAAGACAAGCCTGGTGCGTAGGTGCGTTTCCCCGTTGAGTTTGTGAATGCGATGATCCATTCCGCGAGGTAGCGAGGGATGATTCGTGGAAGGAACGAGGCTCAATAGCTGGCTGATGATATATATATATATACGACTTGTCTCTTCCACAATATGGATTCTCCAAATCGATCAACACAATAACTTTTAGATAACTTCTACACCATAGACATTCCCAAACAAAACTTTCATCATGTATCATCTTTACACTACCGGTATCCTTTTGTTGACTGCAGTGTAAGTGCTTTTCGAGTTCTCTCAACCGTCTTGAAATTCACAAATACTTACATTGATTTATTTTAGACAAAATGTCTACTGTATCCCTGAAGCCCTTCGCCATCGTTCCGAAGCATGTGCTCCAAGCTTGATAACTACCACGTACATTAGTACCATCTCGACGGTTAAGGCAGTTCCACATTCTTGCTATACTCGCTCAATTACCACCATTCAGAACTCTTTCCGTACGCCATTCTTCTTCCATTAAGTAGTATCAGCTAATTAATATGACCATAGCTTGCTCAGGAACGAAGACCTTCAATCCTGCTACATGTGGTCCCGTGCCATTGTGTATTCTTTTATCAACGACTACAATCACAGTGCCGCCTAGTGATAGTAAGCTAAACCGGTTCACTAAATCCTTCTTATTCTTAGATTATGTTTCCTGGTCTCGGACTACACTTTTGTATTTCTTTCTATAAGATTCTTTTGCTTTTCTTTACAAACCCACCTATTCGTCCCACATTATCATACCATCCTTTGTTGATCGGCAATACTGACGGTCTTTACAGAATGTTGTGTAGCAACTCCAACAGTAACGGTTCCAGGCGCGTGTGCGAAATGCCAAACAGGCTGTGCCACAGATTTGACGACGGTGACTGTCACTGAAGGAGCAACACCGCTATCCTACAATCCCGGCGGTCCTCAATTACCCCCAACCAAGAGACAAGGAGGTCCACTCATTCCATGCACGTCTACTCTAAGCCGATTTAAACAGTTTACCCATGGGCCTACAGAAACCCTTTTTCCATCTACAGTCACAGCTACTAGCAGCGTAGATTGTGCAGGCTGTGGCGCTTTGAGTGTGAAGCCTATTGGAGGTGTCGGTCCTGCTGTGGTATTCACGACAACAGTAACGGCAGATGTGGCAACTACTACTACGACTTTTGTTTGCTCCCCAACGCCGGCATAGGGCTTGTAGGAATTTGGAATAGGTGGGGGTCTTTAAGATCTTTGTTTCGTGCTTGAACTTAAGCTCATTGCTACACTCGTTTTGCAGACAAACAGAAAGGAAAGATTGACTATGAAATTTGCAGTGAAGTTAAACCCACGATTACATACCACTCCTTTTGAAATATAAGCTTCAGCCTTTTTGACTTGACAATACATTATGACACGATACTTGTGCTTACTGGAATGTGAAATGCTTCTGCCTGAGTCGTGATTCCAGTGAACTTTTCCTGGGGAAATTTCTAAGCTGGAATTCTATGGCTGACTTCCCCGTGGTCATCATCGACTTTCGCCCTTGATAATCACCGTATCGTATAAGAAAAATGCATGACCATGAAAATAAACATCTTTTCCTTGCTCATAGAAGCTGAGGACATTAACCAATATTATACATTATTTCGTATGTCACTTGTAAAACGCACAATATTCGGGCGGATGAGGGCAAAGGACCGACGTCGAATATCAATCACGTGATGACCGTAGATATCTCGCGCTAGTGATTGGCAAGGTCCCAAGATTTATTTCTCGCGACTCAAGCTTCCAGGCGCATCAACATAAAGCAGAAACTAGGCAAGACAAATCAACAACTTCAAACGCCAAAATGCCAGTTGTCAAAGGTGGAGTTTGGACTAATATCGAAGATGAAATTCTAAAAGCAAGTGTTTCGAAATATGGATTGAATCAATGGGCTCGAGTTTCCTCACTTCTCGCAAGAAAGACACCGAAGCAATGTAAAGCAAGATGGAGCGAATGGTTAGATCCAGGTATTCGCAAAATAGAATGGAGCAAGGAAGAGGACGAAAAATTGTTACACTTGGCGAAGTTAATGCCAACACAATGGCGAACTATTGCTCCTATTGTCGGACGAACAGCGACCCAATGCCTTGAAAGGTATCAGAAATTACTCGATGAAGCGGAACAGAAAGAGGCTGGAGAGTTTGGTCTTGGTGGACCAGATGGCGGAGAAAACAAAGCACCATCTGCGGATGATGTACGCAGATTGCGACCTGGGGAAGTCGATCCAGATCCAGAATCGAAACCTGCGAGGCCAGATACTGTTGATTTAGATGAGGATGAAAAAGAAATGTTAAGTGAAGCTCGCGCCCGTTTAGCAAATACACAGGGTAAGAAGGCGAAGAGGAAGGCTCGTGAACGTCAATTGGAAGAGACGAGAAGGTTGGCCGTTCTGCAGAAGCGCAGAGAGCTTAAGAATGCTGGCATCAATATCAAAGTGGTTAATCGGAAGAAGGGAATGATGGATTACAACGCCGATATTCCTTTCGAAAAAGCCCCCGCTCCTGGATTTTACGATACAGGCGACGAATCTATACAGAACGAGAAGCAAAGAGCAGCTTTTGATCCACGAAAACAGCAACTTGCGATTAAGCGCAAAGGAGACCAAGATGATAACCAGGATCCAAAACGACAAAAGAATGATAAAAACGCCCCATCGGCATCATACCAAGCGGCCATGAAAGCCGGGCAGATGCAAAAAATTCGGGAAGCAGAACAGAGTAGTAAGAGACGGGCGCTGGTACTACCAGCACCTCAGGTTGGTGAGGGGGAACTCGAGGAAATTGTAAAGATGGGTATGATAGGGGAGAGGGCGAACATTGTGGCGAGGTCGAGCGAGAGCGATGCAACAAGAGGGCTTGTGAATACATATTCGACTATAAACAGTGGAGCACCAATTCGAACACCGCGAGCCCCAGCACAAGAGGACCATATCGCCAACGAAATACGAAATATCAGAGCTCTGACCGAGACACAATCATCACTTCTAGGAGGAGAGAATACACCTTTGCACGAAGGATCTGGTAGCACAGGATTCGGTGGCGTTACGCCTCGAAGGCATCAAATGGAAACACCTAATCCTATGGCAACCCCATTTCGTGCAAATGGAATCGGTGCAACTCCCGCAAGAAACGTCGTAGGAGCTACACCAATGCGAACTCCTCGAGATAGTTTTGCACTGAACGCAGACGGTGAGATGGAGTTGGTTGGGAGAACACCTCAAGATTTAAAAATCAGAGACATGACCCTTAAAAATTCCCTGAAAGCTGGTCTTGCATCTCTACCAAAGCCAAAAGATACCGAGTGGGAATTAGAATTACCGGAAGAGCAGCAAGAAAATTTTAGTGTTCAAGAACTATCCGAGGAAGACGCAGAGCTTAGGGATAGAAGGAACCGACAAATTCGAGAAGCTCGAGAACAACTAGAATTTAAAAGACGAACACAAGTTTTACAAAGAGGGCTACCAAGGCCATCAGTTATCGATATCAACGCATTAATGAAAACTGTGGAGAACGTTGAAGATACAATTGAAGGTTCTATTGAAAGAGAAGCAGCTTTATTGATCGCGAATGATGCCCTTACGTACCCCACACCTGGAGCCAAAGTGAGGGGCACCCCGAAGGCCATTGAAGTGTTTGAGGATGATGATCTTTCACAAGCACGATTGCAGTTGTTGATGGAAGTTCCCAAGGACTTGGTAGAGCAAGGATCAGATGCTTTTAGAGCGGCATGGGACGAAGCTCATAAATCATCGTTATTACCTGGATTAAGTGGATACGATTCTGATGATGAGATTGATGAGCATCAGGTGCTTCTAGATGCTTTTGACGTAAGCCCTGAATTCCTACCAATTTTGTCTCTTCAATATCTAACAATTCCCTAGAACGTCCAAGAATCTATCGTTGCTGCTGCTGAGAAGGGCAACAAATCCGAAAAGAAACTCGCCCTTCATTTAGGCGGTTACCAACAAAGAGCTAAAACTTTACGCCAAAAAATTGGCGAAGCAGCTGACGCTTTGTCTAAAGCTAGTTATTCCTTAGATGCATTCAAAACTTTACAGATCTCAGAAGATGTAGCGATCTCGAGGAGATTGGAAGATTTGAGGGAGAGAGTGGGCTTTGTTTCCAAGCGTGAGAGAGAAGCTCAAGAACTATATAGAGAAAGAAAAGAGGAGTTGACAAATTTGACGGATGGGGTAAACGGTTTTCATTGAGGATGAGAACGAAAATGAGAAATTTGTAATATATGGAGACATTGTCTCCAATGAATGGCATGGCGTGGATATGGATAATTTATTTAAGGCTTAGCGGAACTGAAGCCGGGTGGAAATGAAATGTATGATATCCCCATTTGAGATTGATTCTTTCAAATATGTGCAAAAGTCTCAGTAAGTAAGTGATGTGAATTGCTCAACGTGTCTCTATATGATGTATCCGTCTGCCTGTCTACCTATCTATCATAGAATGCTGGCCGTTCATCTCGTATCTCATATTCAGTCCTCATGTTTGTGGATCTTTTTTCTTTCTCCGTACCAATGCAAACGCAAATGCCCACCCATACTAATGCTCGCTACTCTATTTCCCAAACAAGATAAAATAAATCGATACAATCGATCAACGCAGATGCCGCCCGCAACTTCATCCCTCAGCCCCCTAAAATCCCACGACGCGTGCGTATCTCAACCCACCAAATCCGCAACCGATTCCTCGACCAAAAGTTGCCTTTCTTCCATACACTCTACCGTTCCTGCCAAGATACCCGCTCCGATAATACTTCCATACATACACCCTTCTAGTACGATTTTCTTGCCGCCTTTATCGGGACCGAATTCCTTGTGCATGATACCATCGAGATACATCTGGCAATCTTCAAGATAGTCTTGGAAGTGGGAGATACAAGAGCCTGTGTAGCCTACGAAGAGTTCTGTTACGTTTTCTGAGGCGTGGATGGGAATCGTTTGGTTGGGATTTGTTGTTCTTGAAGCGTCGTTGGAAGGTGGCGAGAAATGGAGTTCGTCCGCTGCTGCGAGAAGACCGATGATGGCAGCAGCTACCATGCCCGCTGCACGCTTCTCGATCTTCTTTGCTACGATTACAACTACATTTGCTAATTCCGGAGTCCAGGTATGGGGTTTCCCGCTAGTTTGATCTATAGGGAACGGCATGGCGAGATCGAGTGGTTCGCATAGCCGATCTTCTCTTCCTACTTTAGCTAGGATACTTGCATCGAGAGCATTTCGTTTGCGGAGAACTGTGGGAAGGGTCTCGGATGGTAGCTGGAGTTGGGTTGTAAAATATTCCAGGATAATAAGACGGCCTAGTTCGCCGAGGTATTTGCCGCCGGTCATGTATTCGAAGGGCATGAAACCTGGAGTTTCGCTGTTGGTGTCGAGAATCTTGTCCCATTTTGTGATGAAGTTCAGGGCGTGAATAGGGGGAGCTGTGCCATTGATGGACCATTCAGTGTTAATTATGATCTTGGTGTCTTTCTGTTTGCTCTCAATAGTGTTAAGGGTGTGGGATGGATATTTTGTGACATGAAGTTTAGAGAATGACAGGGGAATAGTGGCATTACAACCAGTGCCGACGATTAGACCCATGGCCACCTTCTGATTCGGCGTACGTTTCTGTCGGTGGAAGGACACTAGGCTTGCAACGGCATCATTTACTATGGCAGTTATTTTGATGCGGGGAAGATGAGGCAAGGTTGCAATTGATATTTCGTAGCCTTTGAGGAGCTGCTCGCCAAGGTTGAGATTTGAGGTCATTGCAAAACCCTTGCCCATGGACATCAAAATTGCGTCTGATAATTTGTTTTGACTATTCATGTGTTAGTGGCCGTCCGCTTAACAATGATAAATACGGCATCAAACATCATTGGGAAACTCATCGTAACACCCATTGGCAACTCAGAAGGTAGCTGTGAGCTCCATTCGTCAACTCCATCCTGAACAACTTCCGCAATACACTTTCCAATCCACACAAAAAGTTCATCTGCGTTGTTGTATTTGTGGTCTTCACCAATTTGCCATGACTTCTCAAGTAGCCTATTAATTTTGCCTGGTAATGCCAAACCATCTTGAATAGAAGGGCCAAGTAGCTCGATAAATCCCACTCTCAGATTTGATCCTCCGCTACTGTAGGTTAGATACAAATTATCTAACAGTCTATGACAGAAAACTTACATATCGATCGCCAAATATCTTCCCTTTCCATGATCCGGTCTCAACACGTCTTCAGAAATAGGTGTAGGTAAAAACTGATTTGAAGATTCCTTTGCCAACGTCTTGAACGTCTCACAAAGACTCTTGGCTAATGCATGAATCTTATTAATATCCACATCGAGAGGTGCAAGGACCTGGTCAAGAGCAGTTGGATTTAAAGTCATGACTTCGATAAGCGAGCTGGCTGGCTGACTGTAGCTGAGTGAGATAGATAATTGAGGGGGTGAGAAGGCTTGTTTTGAGAAACGTGTATGTATGTAGTGTGACTCTCTGACTTTAGGATGTTTATCGAATTTCAATCAATTTTTAAGGAAAGGTTAAGATAGATGGGGTTGAATTATATGCGTTATTTCGCTAGTGCATATCGAGGGAGAGTGAATGAGATATACAGCCTCATGTGTATGGTACAGTGAATGATATAACCCTTTTTACAATATTAGTGGTTCAAAATGTTATAATAGGTGGATTATATTACAAATGAATGCATCTGGGCAAAGAGGTGAGATCTGAAAAGAAAGTCTGTGTGAATATCAGCATAAAAGTCTAGGTAAGCACATGAAGCAGAAAGGAGAAGATTCAAGGCATGTACCAATTGGGTACTAACTCCTTTCATGAGTGCCCGCTTAGATCAGCCGATCAGATATGATTACTCTGTGTTTAGCCGCGGTTCTACCGAATCTTCAGCTGGATGATGCTCCAACTGATGCTCCCCTAACCTTCAAGCTTCATTATCTTATCAGTACTTTATGGATCCATCAATATGAAGGACTCCCTACCCACGATCAATACCAATTTCGAATACCATAGTATGGATAACGAGAAAGGAGAGAGAATGTTGACCGGACCACCTGCACGAAGAGCTAGACCTCTAGCTTTTGGAGCTCTAACGGTTGCTCTGTTGTATTTCTTATGGACTGCAAATGTCCATCAGTTATTCATGGGCTGCGGCATGCAACCGCAACCTGCCGGAACGAACCATGCGAAGGATATTGTATCTACATCTGATCACAAACCTATACCGTTGGAAGCGCATATCATGTCTAAATGTAAGTTTAATCGGTTCGCAATTCATTTCTCTTGCACTGCTCCAGAGTATTTCTCCGATAGACATGTACTGACTCCTTAATCCAGGTCCCGATGCGCAGGTCAGTCAAGCTGTTATTAGATTTGTGGTACATAATTAATTTACTTGTAGGACTGTTTAAAAATGATGGTATTGCCAGCTATGCAGAGAGTATATGACAAAGTAAACTTCACGCTCTCATTTATTGGCGCGTAAGTGTTGAGCCTCCCAAGAATCATCTGAAGAGTCTAACGGCCATTCTTTTGCAGACCTACAGACAATGACGGAGTTGCCTGTAAACATGGCCCACAAGAATGCATGGGTAATATTCTCGAATTATGTTCTGCGACGCTATATCCCGACCCGAAAATCTACCTTGGGTTTACGATGTGTTTAACCAGAGACTATAAGGACATACCAGATAGAAGTCTAGTGGAGGATTGCGCATTAGAGCATGGAATGGATTTCGAAAAACTCAATGCGTGTACTGTGCAGGATGACGGAGGGTATGGAATGGGAATGTTAAGGGATAGTGTCAGAAGGAGTACCGAGGTATGTGTGAAGATAAAACTCATATTTATCCTTCAGAGCTCCCATGCTAACCAAAAGCTGTAGGCTGGTGTTATAAAATCTTGCACTGTCAGACTCAACGAAGAAATATTTTGTGTACGCGATGGCAGGAAGTGGACGGATTGCCCAGGAGGGTCGGAAGTAAACGATCTTATTCTTGCCGTAGAGAAGCTGTACCACCAGTCTTGATAGGTTCGAATATATCGGTCCATAACTCACTTGCCTCTCCAACGGTGTAGTTCAAAGACACTTTATCCATCCCTGTTTCTTCGTTGCCCTCCATGTTTTCCAATTGCTCGATTATACTCTCCAATCCGATCGCTTTTCCGGTTGCTTGTGTTGCGCCCGCCTCTAATGCAACATGTACGATATGCACATGAAAATGGTAGTAGGTCGGTTGGTAATGAACATACAATTTCAACTGATCCTCTTCCAATCCTTTGTATGAGTTCACCGTAGCCTCCACAAACTTTTGTCTCATATGTCTCAGCCATTGTACATGTTTCTTCTTCAAATCCCTTAAACTCCATATATCTCTCCTCTCCACTAGCCCTAATAAATGGAGCCCCTCCATCGTCTTTCGATCCCAGTTCAGATCTGGCAATAATAAGAACCCCTCATCTCCATCTCGACCTTGTGGGGTTCTATAAATGACATCCTCTACCTCAGTCTTTCCATCTATTATATTGTATACCCAATTTAATCTACCTCCATCTCTTTTCGCCTGCATATATGGGCGTATCTTCTCGCTGTAAATTTGGGGTGTTTCTGTGATCATGCGAAGTCCTTGCTTGCTATATTTCTTAATGTGCTGTTCTGTGCATGGATAGATGAGATTAATCTTCAGATCGGTAGGTTCAGTCGTTTGCGAAGGACCAGCATTGGCCAAATACCAAAAGTAGACATCATTTGCGCCGAGATTCTCGAGGGATTGGACAGTGGTCGGGAGAGAAGATAGATAGTCTGAGGAGGTAGGAAATGGAGCGCGCTCAAGAATCAAGAGACATGGCTTGGAATTGATTTGACCGCAGAGAACAGAACGTCGTCCTGCTTGATCTTTGTAGGTAGACCAGTTAGATGTGGTGTTGTGGATGGAGGTAGATTGTGATATTAAAAGTTACCTTGGTTTAGCAAACGATCAAATTTAAAATCTCGAATGAGAGATGTTGGGGAAGGAGCTTCTTCTGCCATGATTGGTGTATGGATGCGTTGATTTTATTGTGGCCAGGCTCAAAGGTTAGGACACAAAGCTCCTGGGGGATGAGATTATGTCATCAAAAAGCGTTTTGTTGCATATCTTAAAATTTTGCTGATTGTTCGCTACGAGAATACAATCAGTCAGCATGTCACATAAGTCTATCAATTAATCGAACACGTCACATGTGACATGTATCAAAAGATGAAAACCTTCAGCTGTGTGTGCGACACAGGTGCTGATACTCAATTACGCATCCAAGAGCGAATTTGCATTGGCAAAGTCTCGTCGATGATGAATGAGTACACCAATTGCAGATACATTCCGGATATGTTTATCTAATCAGTCAAAGAGTTCCCAACATTGCCAAGTATGGAAGATTTGCAAAACTAGCAAGGGACAGTCCGTCAAAGATACGCTATCGATACGAGTCTCAATATCAAAGTGGTGGACATGCTCGAGACACACACGCGATCGACGACCAGATCGTGCATCATCTAATAAGCTTGGGAGAGTATCTTTTTCGAACCCGGACTGGCATATTGACGGGTGTCACGATGTCTGAGATCATTTAGCAGTCGAATTAGTAGAGCTAATGAGATATCGAGGTGTGTCTCAAGACATCGAGCACGTCCAACTCTTGCTTGGAATTCATTCCATGCACCATGAGCCATCTACACACACTATCAAAAGAAGTTCGAGATTTCTTGGCTAATACTATCGTTTGTCCCTAGGCTTTTGATCAAGAACGAGTACGGAGTAGTGAAATTGTGGGGTAATGATATGAACCATTATCAAGCTTCAACAATGCAGCACAATCCGAGAGCTTCAGCCGGCATAGAGATGTGCTTTGATCTTCCGTCGATAGGTCAATACCTTTTCCCGCTCGGTATTCCTTACTCCGTTGGCTGCCTATCTGCGATTACTGCATCACAACCTCGAGATGATGACAATGATAGGACAGGATAAGCGATAACCTTCTCCAGACGACTTACATTAAATTGTGCTATCTATATTCACAATGCCCTGGTCTATGAATGGCTTTCTTAGTTGCTGGTCGTTACGATCCTACGATCCACACCACCACCACCATCACCTCCTAAATACGATGTACAATTTTGAACGTCGTGCAGTAGCTTTCAAATTCTCCCTATTCCGCAACGGATTTAAGAACTTTGTCGCCGTGTATAGATCACATGATCAAGAATTTCATATTCACCGCTTCCATTTTCGTTCAGACGGTGCCGATACCCGTTTTCTAAAGCATTTCAGGCAGGGTCTAATTGTAATTTTTGCTCCCAAAACCCGCATGAATCTTGCCGGCCCCGCCAGATGAAGAACGGTCAGTCGCCATCTTCTATTACAAATCGTCAATCTCCAATGAGCGTGAAGAAAGTGGGGCCGCTCTCAAAGAGGTAGGCAAATATATCTTGTATATATAAAAAGAGTGAGTCCTTCATGTTTTACCTTGGTTTCCTTCTGACGTCTGCAATTATACTACAGTCGTCATTCACTCAAAGTTTCATGTCATATATGAAGATCTTTTCCTTTCGATATCTTTTATTAATATAATCTTCTTGTTTCGGATTGACATTTTCTTTTTCTTCTTAGTTCTTTTTGTGAACGTACATTATCGAAGCTATTACAACAATAGATAGGCGCCAATAATAAGGAAAAGGATAGGAGGGTTCCTTACCTCAAAAATGACGGACTCGATATCGAGGCAAGAGACCCGCAAGTCAGGTGCATCAAAACCCGATTCGTCTCCTGGGCTACATCGATGTTTATCTGGAAATCACCTCGATGACACTTCGTATTATACAGGTCATGCTGGTGTATCTCAAGGGAAAACTGATCAAGGTATGGAGCGCGATTCCACAATCGATTTGGAAGATACAGATACCGATGGCGCTTCAAGCATATCGCCAGAAGTTATAGATGGGATTGAGGTTGAGAGAGATGTTGAATTGGGGAGAGAAAAGACTCAAAAGAGCACGAAAAGTGTGAGGGATCCAAACCTAGTCACTTGGGAAGGGCCACATGATCCAGAGAACCCTAAGAATTGGAAAATCGGACGTAAATGGGCTGCAGTCTTGGTAGTTTCAAGTTTCACCTTTATATCCCCAGTTTCCTCTTCCATGGTAGCCCCAGCTCTGACTTCCATAAGTTCGGATTTACATATTGAAAATTCTATAGAGCAAAGTCTGGTGCTATCTATTTTCGTCCTGGCTTATGCGATTGGTGAGTCGATTCTATGTTGGCAATTGTAAACAAATACTGACATGAAAACAGGCCCATTGTTTCTTGGACCGCTGAGTGAAATGTTTGGACGAGTCATTATAGTGCAAGTTAGCAACCTTGTATACTTGTTTTTCAATCTCGGCTGTGGTCTGGCACAAACCAAGGGGCAACTGATTGCTTTCCGATTTCTTGCCGGGCTAGGTGGATCAGCCCCTTTAGCTCTCGGAGGTGGAGTACTCAGTGATTTGTTCACAGCCGAAGAGCGTGGTAAAGCTATTTCTATATACTCTCTCGCTCCACTACTGGGGCCGGCAGTTGGTCCAATAGCAGGCGGGTTCATAGCCGAGAATACTACCTGGAGATGGGTCTTTTATGCCACTACTATTGCAGATGCGGTCATTCAAATAATAGGGTTGTTCTACCTCCAAGAAACATTTCCACCTGTTTTACTCGGACGTAAGAAGAATAAGCTCATCAAGGAGACTGGGAATCAAGATCTCCACACAGAATGGGATGTTCCAGACAGAACTATTTTCAAAGCTCTCTCTGTTAGTCTGACGCGACCGTTCAAACTACTTGGTATGCTTAATCATTTCATAAAAATCTACCATTCTTTATGTCGTCACATGCTTCTCGTCACATGCTTCGTACAAACATGACAAAAAGGCTTCAAAGCTCGGCAGTGGGATAAAGAACTATGCTGGAGAAGAAAGTATCTTCCTAAAACGGTCATAATTCGTATAAGGCAATGATCACGTAGACATACACCTGCCATTGATTGACTCTCTTGCGCACGATCCTATAAATATCGCTTTTGCTGACTTGCTCATCATCTAGGAACGCAAATCATCATCCAGGTGCTAGCAGTATATATGGCTTACCTCTATGGTATCATGTATCTCGTACTCTCCACATTTCCCGGATTATGGGAAGGCGTATATAACGAAAGTGTCGGGATGGGTGGGCTTAACTATATTTCTTTGGGAGTCGGTTTCTTCTTGGGTACGCAACTATGTGCACCGGCACAAGACAGGATTTATCGAGAGTTGAAGGCACGTAACAACGGAGTGGGAAAGCCTGAATTTCGAGTCCCTTTAATGATTCCTGGTGCTTTGCTTGTGCCAGTGGGGCTCTTTTGGTATGGATGGTCGGCTCAAGCTAAAACTCATTGGATTGTGCCGAATATTGGAGCGGCAATTTTTGCAGCAGGAACCATTATCGGATTTCAATGCATTCAAACTTACATAGTCGACTCCTATACCAAATACGCTGCAAGTGCTGTCGGAGCAGCAACTGTTTTGAGAAGTTTGGCTGGTTTCGGTTTCCCATTATTTGCCCCATACATGTATGCAGCGTTAGATTATGGGTGGGGTAATAGTTTGATCGGATTTATCGCGATTGGATTGGGGTGGCCAGCTCCCATTTTGCTGTGGATATATGGCGAGAGACTTCGTACGAGAAGTACATTTGCAGCTGGATAAGACAAATGCGGAAATGTACGACTGGTAGGATGAGGGCATGGAGTTATGATTGGTGGATCGGATCCGAGCGTGATCGTATGAGTGGACGAAAATGACAAGCATAGCCATATGGAGTTATTGGGCGATTTTTAAGGTCAAACGGCAGTGTAAAAAATACCCTTTTGCGGATCAAATTGATGAGCATATACAAATAGAAATACGATGATTGTTGAATTGGAGAACAAAATGGCGTTTGTGTTCTTGAATGGCCAAATAGAGTTATGAGCCTGACAAGTGTATACTTCGGTCATCATTGCTATGAGAAATGTCTTGCTAGATGTATGCGAATCCTCCTTGCAATGATGTTATTCGGTTGAAAGTTCCTCCTGCAAATCTTAAACGAGAATGAGTAGACTATGCCACTACAACCTTTGATCTGATACTTTGTCGACTGAGCGGCATCCAGAAACTAGTGAAGATTGCGCAATTTCTTCGGTGTCCAAGAGTACGTTGAAAACAAAACGTACTGCGTATTCTTTCCGTGTCAGCAGTAGACAAGGAGTTTAAGTAGACATGGAGTTTACTTCCGCCGGCTTCCAGATTACTTCCAAGTCACGGAATTTTGGGAACTCCATGTCCAGTCGCAACGATATCGACACCAATGTCTAGAATTACCATCAATCAATGAAACATTCGGCGTCCTTAACTCCTAGCTTTCGGAGAACAAGCAATATGACAATGCGATACTACACTAACAACGCATCGCTTTGGGTGAGGAACACCACATCTTTCAATGTCCAAGATTTGCTTCGACAAGGGAATATCAGGTTGCCAAGAATCTCACTCAGAACTAATTCTTCCTTTGGAATCTCGAATGTCGACAGGTTCATACTAGTTGCGAAAAAGGACAGGATAGTGTAATGAGTCGACGATGATGACATAGATCCCGGAATTCTGTCCACTGTCGGTCGAGAGTGCTTCTCCGGATATACATACTTATCGCCATAAAGTCCATCTAGTTCGATGTAGTCTCGAAGGATCATTATCCCGAATTCGTCATGACGGTATTGGCTTAAGCTTAACGGTCAACCGTCTGGACTAGCCGAAAAAGACATATCCATACCTATGTTGATTGCGTGTAAGACATGGCAGTGAGAGGGATTGTGAGATCTTATACGGTGAGGATGCGGCACAGCGGTTCTTTATCAACATAGATGCCAATCACGCCTCAACTGAGATCCATGGGGCTCAGCTAGTGGGAATCTCGAGCGTATGGGATAATATGACGATATCGTCAGCTCTGCTTTAGCACCTAGGCATCTCTTGGCTTGGAGAGTCTCGAAGCTTACATAGCCACAAATGAAGCTTTAAGGGTTTTGCGGGCTATTATTAACGGCGCATCTACCTGCAGTCGCCGATCTTTGAAGAAGATAAGACTCGTAAATGCAGGGCCAAAATGCTCACTGCACGCGTGGAAGCGTGCAAGGGCGTTGTGTGTCTGCAAGGTTAGGGCACGAGGAACCAAGAGACCAAGGGCCGTCAGCACAAGTGAGAATGATGCCTCCACCAGTGCTGACAAGCAGTAGCGACAGTAATAACATGATAGATAGGTAGCGCGGCCCTACAGGGCATAAGGAAAAGGAAGGATCTTGACGAGTTTGAGAAAATGATGGCCCCGCAATAGAAAAACCCTCAGCGGCAGGCGGACACTACGTACATTAAATAGCATCGATTTCATCAATTCGGAGACACATACTTTATTATCGCCGAAATTAATAAGAGTTGCAATGAAGAAGCAACATTGCATTGAGTTGAAAGATTTATATAATAGAAATGTTGGATATATGTTGGGTTGGATTGAGCAAAAGAAAGTAATTTACATGCGTTTGGACATTTTGTCTGTTGACCTTATTGATAATCTGTCTTGACCAATCAGATCTATGCATTAGAAATTTCCTCGAATCCAATTGATATCTCCACTCTTTGCACTCCCTCCCCCTCCCCCAATCACAAGTCAACCACTCTTATCAATCCAGAAGATTGATGGCAGCAGCATTCCATTTCTTTGCTTTACTTAGGCATTGCGCTTCATAAGAGAACATACCTACCTGCCCATATGAAAACCATCTCCATACCTAGAAAGAATCATCACTTCAATCTCCAGGAACTCAACTCGAGGGAGGATTCTTCTTCTACTTATACCTTCTTAAACACGGCCAAAAGTTCCATGGAACGATTAGTTGCGATAAGGACCCGAGTATATTTTTGCATATCACTTTAACGTAGGAAGGACAGAGATAAGAAACAACTCTGCTTACAGCTTCAAAAAGGTCAATGGTCTAGGGTAGCATTCCCTCAGAATTGGCAGCGAGAAAGGATAGGTCCGCGCGTGTGTTCTCCGTAAATACTTATCGGATCGGATAAGCCTTGTCTACCGGCTACTAGGGACCCGCAGCGCACCACCCATCAACGGATTTGATACGGATAACGTCGAGGGGATAAGCTGAGGATCGTGCCCCTCTCTCGCGCTGGATGGCTGACGTACGGGATGCGGGTCGCATTGATGGAGGATCGTCGTCCTCGTTGAATAATGTCAAGATCAAACCGGAGAGTAATGTGACGACTGATCGGGAGAGCTCGACGTCGAATAAAAGATCGAGGAGTAGCAGAGATGCCGCTGCGATTAAGAGAAGGTGTGTTTCAACAGCTTGTGTCGCATGTAGGAAGCGCAAATCCAAATGCGATGGAAACACACCAAGTTGCGCAGCTTGCTCAAGTGTATATGGGACTGGTATGTTCATCTCATATCCTCAATTGATCGGTGGCAATTGGCCTGCAAGACTAGCTAAGTACTTGGACTGACATTGTGAATTGACAGAATGTGTATACGATCCCTTATCAGACCATAGAAGAAAAGGCGTATATAAAGAAAAGATCGATAGTCTGAAGACTCGCAATTCTACTCTACAAACATTGATACAAGCGATATTGAATGCCGCCGAAGAAGATGTGCCAAATCTGGTCCGCCAAATTCGGACGTGTGAAAGTCTCGATGATGTAGCAGAAAACATTCTGAAACAAGATCAAGCCTTCGAAGACGATGATGATGATATGGACGATAACATGGCATGTACGTCATCTAGTTTGCCGACTTTCGAGACCCAATTATCGGGGAAGATGGGTGAATTGAGGTTAGAAAATGGTTCGGTAAGGTTCTTGGGAGGCACCTCGAATTTAATTTATCTCGATGCAGCGAGTGTTGAACATGGGGACGCTTTGGAAACGACTCAACAAGATGAACCTCTCCTGTCATGGACTACAGTTACAAGTGATACAGAGGTCATCGTCCATTTGATTAATATGTATTTTACATGGCATTATCCATATTTTACGACATTGAGTAAAACGCTGTAGGTTTTTCTTTTTCCATATTCCCCGATTCAAAGCTAGTCCATTTCACTTTTCCATCGTCTCGGCTTGCTTCAAGAATTACTGACTGATTGATATTACTAGGTTTTACAAAGACTTCCTTTTGGTATGTTTACTTGCCAGACACTGGCTCATTGTATTTCACATTCAAAACATCCAGGGTTAACGGAATCCAGGGAAAACCTCCAGTGACTCCAAAAAGAACAATGTACTGTTCATCATTATTGGTTAGTGAAGACTCAGCTCTCAATGTGATTATCTCCTAACGAGTCTCAGGTTAATGCTATGCTGGCTCTGGGGTGTCATTTTACAAACTCTCCCCAAGCCTGTGCAGATCCAGGTGACACCGCTACTAAAGGTGATCATTATTTCGCGGAAGCGAAAAGACTATTCATTGAGAATGAAGAGTTTGAGAAACCGAGATTGACTACCATACAAGCTCTCTGGTGAGTCTTCACGCTTATGTTCAAATATGTATATCTAACATGATGGCAGTTTGATGTCAGTTCGTGAGGCAGGTGCAGGCCGAGAAGGAAAAGGTTGGGTCTACTCTGGAATGGCATTCCGAATGGCTCAAGATATGGGACTCAACCTGGATTCCGGAATCAACAAAAACAGCCCAAAGGAATTTCCCGTTGATGAAGATGAAATCGATGTTAGAAGAGTCACATTTTGGGGCTGGTATGTTGAATTGATTCAATATATTCTTTTCCATCATTGTTTGATTTGTTCCTTGACCACAATTCCTATTTTTCTGGTCCATCAACTCCTAGCTTTTACTTCTAATGCAATATTAATTTCTCATTTTCTTGAAATTCGTTCTTTGAGCGATTGCTGATTTTCCTCGATAGCTTTCTCTTCGACAAATGTTTTTCGAATTACTTAGGAAGACTTCCTCTGTTATCGGTGACTGACATCACCGTCCCAAAATATGACGTTAAGAAATTCGATGACGATGAGATCTGGTCACCTTACACAGATAATGGAATTGGTCAATTACACTCCCAACCATCAAGGACAAGAGCTGTAGCTTTACAGATTTCGAGTCTTTGTGAGATTAGTAGTGATCTTCTCACATTTTTTTACCATCCACAAAATGTTGAAAGGGGTGTTGGAAGATCACAGGAGCTAAAGAAGCTTAGCGAATTACAAACAAGACTCGAGGCTTGGAAAAGAGATTTACCTAAGGAATTTGAACCAAAGGAAGGACAATTACCCAACGTCCTTCTTATGCAGTATGCACTACTATATCTGAACTTTAACTCATTACTGATTTTGTATAGCATGTTTTTCCATCTTTTATACATCCATCTATTTCGGCCGTTCCTCAAGTACAATCCAAGTACATCGCCTTTACCGACACATGTATCTCCTCGAAAACTTTGCACACAAGCTGCTGGGTCGATATCCAAGTTAATGCGTCTTTACAAGCGTATATATGGACTTCGTCAAATCTGCAATATTGCAGTTTATATTGTTCACTCTGCTTGTACAATTCATCTTCTGAATCTTCCAGAAAAGACAGCGAAGAGAGATATATTTCACGGTGTGAAACATCTCGAGGAAATTGCCGATGATTGGCTCTGTGCACGCCGCACTCTTTCAATTCTCTCTGTTCTGGCTCGAAAATGGAATATCGATCTTCCTACAGAAGCGTCTGCTGTATTCTCTCGTACTGATAGCAGGTTTGGGTATTTCTCGACAGCCGATGTTCCATCGCCGAAAGCAGAAATAATAGCGACTACACCATCATCATCATCATCACCTACTCATTTCCAGACTCCTGTGCATTCTCAACCGCTCCTTGCAAGAAGTCAAACCCAGTTACAACAGAGTTTGTACAGCTATCCTCTCGATTCAGAAGTTCCACTCACGCAGAATTTGATAAGCGATCTATCAGTGCAGTCTTCGCTGCCCAGACTCCAAAATGTTGTCTCGCCACCATCTGATCATACAGATTCCATCTCATATTCTACGACAACAAATCCCCTTCATATGTCACCTGTCTCTGCGTATCCCCTCTCTCGTACAATTTACACCAACCCGGCTCAATCTTTCGCTCCTAGTATCGCAAATGCTACTTCTACGGCTAATAATAGCTCATTGACTAGTGGGAATAGAAGTGCAAATAGAAATGTTAGCCCTAGTACACTGTTCGGTGGGGTAGAGCAGTTAGTTCAAAGCCAGGATTGGTGGTTGCGAGATCAAGCGAGCTTGGTAGTTGGGTTTGAGAATTGGATGGGTGGAGGTGTTGGTATCGGTACGGGGCATAGTCATAGCTTGAGTGGTGATCTAGGTACCGGGACTGGCAACCCATTTTATGATAATGGCAACCCCAATCCTGGGAACGGAGGTGGTAATACAGGTGCAGGGGGTGGTGGGGGCGCTAATAGAGGGTTTAGGGATGACGACTGGTTCTCATAGTTGCTATGGGTGTTTTGATATAATACGACATGATATAATACGATGATACTTGGATGGAGTTGAGAAGGGATTCTGTTGGGCTTAGACGGGAGGGTTAGGGTTATGATGATCAATGATCAAGGTCGGGGCGGAAACAGGAGCCTGGCATGAGTTCAGCTTGGGAGTTTTTTGGGATACCTGTGTTCTTGTCACAGTGGAATATTTTGACTTTAATAAGATGAGAATTGTATGTACCAATGATTCATTATATATAGATATGTTTTCGGGATGATATGGTATGGCTTGGAAAAGATGGAGCTTGTTAGTACAGATAACGTATCTGGAGTAGAAAATAACATTTCGTATTCCATGGTTGGTTCGTTCTTCGAAACTAAAATGAGGTGGGAATGAATGATGAAAAATGTATTGGGTTGTATGAGTAAGGCTATCTATCTATTCTTTTTTCGTTGATATTTCCAGCTAAGCTTTTTCTCTTGAATATCGATTTTTAAATAGCGATTATTTTGAGATTTGACGGGATGGGATTGGATGACAAGTTTTTGGAGATGGTGAAGAATGAAGGTTGGCTGGAAGATGAATTAACCTCCTCTCTCCTATTTGAAGAACATTTTGATAGGTATTGAGAAATGTTTGTTCCAAGTAAAAAGAACACAGATTCGGCTCTTACAATACCTCATCTAGAAATCCCCAAAAATCATCACATTCAACTTTTCAAAAAAGAACCCCCCACCCCTCCATTTTGTAATTTTTTAACTCTTAATTATGTGTGTATGATTCGGAAAGGCTAAGTAAGTGACAAACAAGTAACTCAAATAAGCTCTTCTACATCTTTCTCTTTCTCTACCTCTGCCTCTTCCTCATCATCATCCTCATCATCCCTCCCCTTTTAATTCCAATTCTGATTTTCATATCCTATCTTATCTGTTCACATCTAATCATTTATATGCTCATACAATCCCTTTCCTTTCCTTTCCTTTCATCGTTCAACTCGATATGCAAAAGGGTATTTATTATAAACCAAGTCCATCGATCGCTGTGTACCACGCAATGCAAAGTAAAGTATAAAAAGATTCCTCCTCTCCCATATATGCTCATAAAGGTGTCGTATCATGCGTGTATTGTACGTCGCGTTTCGTTCCCTTGCGTGTCCTTGCTTGGTTTCTTCATCCTCTGATTCCTCGGTTTCTTTACCCGTTTGTTCTTTTGTTCGTTTCCGTGATTGCGTCTCCTTTCTACTTTCTAGAATGAGTGCCTGTTTCTTTTAAAAATTTCCAGTCCAATCCCTCCTAGCGCTTGTCTTGTCCCTTCCCTTTCTCCTCCCTCGACCCTTCTTTCTCACTCCCAAACCTAACAAGCACCCCCTCAATGACCGGCACTAATTCCGTGATCCTAAAAGGTTTCGTCATAACCTCATCCATACCAGCTTCCAGTGCTTGTTGAATTTGTTCTGCTCTCGCATTAGCAGTCACTGCCACAACTGGCACATGTCCTATCAGTTCTCCATTCTTTTCCATTTTGCGTATCTCCCTGGCGCATGTGAGACCGTCCATCACGGGCATTTCGATGTCGAGAAGAATGAGGGTGAGAGGAATGTGTGATTTTTGTGGTCGTAATTGCTGATGTAGTTGTGAGGAGTCTTGGGTTTGGTTTGGAGTGCTGGTGTTCTGTGGGCTGGGTATTAGCATGAATCTTATGGGGAATATGGCAAGAAAATGAACGTGAAAAGGGATTATCTTACCTTCTCTGCTACAGCCACATTCGAATGATCCGCTTTCTCACTCATCCAATTCGTCTGACTTACAAACTCAATAGCTTCCTTTCCATGATTTGCTACGTGAACTGTACATCCCAACCGCTTCATTTGTGCCGCCAAGACCTTCTGATTGACTAGATTATCCTCCACGATCAACACACTCCACGAACTAGGCCTGAGAAAATCCGGAGTCTTATTCGTTTTCACCTTCTGGCTTTCTTCCTCCTCAAATGCAAATGAGTTACGATTTGTAGGTAATCTTCCCTTCTCCTTCAAATCGAGGAGCTTATTCAACATGTTTTCTTCATGGTCCTTGATGCTTTTCGGAACGTTTGTCGCAAGTCGCCCATTAGCCTCCAGATCCGAATTCATCTGCGATTCAACATCCAGAGTTTTTGCCCTTATCAATGCACGGCGGCATTTAATGTAGAAAGCGAAAGTACTTCCAACCCCAAACTCTGATGCCACGCCGATTTCTCCACCTTGCAATTCGGTAAGTTGGCGTGAGATGAATAGTCCAAGGCCAGATCCTCCATAATGCACATGAGTTCGAGGCGATGCTTGAGAGAAACGTGTGAACAAGTTCTTCTTCTCGGCAGGCGTTAACCCACAACCAGTATCTTTTATCTCGAATCGAAGATATATGATTTGACCTCTACCCCATTCCTCGCTATCGGTAATATTTGCTTTCGAAAACCTGGTAGGAGATGGGAAGTATTCGAAATTGGCCAATGACTCTAATAAAGGTGGTTCCAGGGAGGCACTGATAGAAACATGGATTTCTCGTATCTTCTCGTCCTTGGTGAATTTGATAGCATTTGTCATGAGATTAATCAATACTTGAGTCAACCTACTTGAGTCGAGCATGACACTGTCAACTTTCAACTCCTGAAATGACTTTTTGATGTCTAAATTGAGAGATATGGTATTCATTTGACATTCCCCGGCAAACATCCTGAGTCCTAGCTTTACCACCTCTACAGGTTTAGTAGAGACAGGTGTAATTGTAAGCAGATTTGAATCCAATTTAGAAATCATTAAAACATCATCAACAATTGATTTTTGGTGCTGAGCACAAAGTTGAATTGTTTCGGCGGCATCTATACCATCTTTCAAGATAGCCGCGAGTTGGTAATCGCGCTCATCCAGATCCTTGTTTGCTGCTCTGTATTGTTTCAAAGATGATGAGATACCATCTGCACATTGAACGATAGCGCTTAGTGGATTGCGCATTTCATGACTTGTTATGTCGATAAACGAATTTTGCTGGCGTCTTGTTTCTTCGTAATCTTTTAGTCGTCTGTCTTGAATCTCTTCGGCCCATTTAATTCTGGAAATATCTGTTGAGCCTACGTTGTGTCAGTAAGGATCAGTTATAAAGCCATAGATTTAGTTTTCGCCAGGGAAGGAAAAAGTCTTATCAAACTTACAGCCCATCACACTCTTCAACTTTCCGTTCTCATCATTCTCTCCAGAGAATGTACCCAATACCCAGCGCTGTATAGTCAATGTACTCCCGGCTATGTCCCCTACCCATGGTTGTTCCATGCGTGCTTCTATTACAAATGGAGTAGCTTTTTCTACCAGCGCAAACCATTGCGATCTAAACTTCGGTCGGTCCAGCTCGTATATTGCATTCATCCATGAGAAAGGAATCTCTGCTAAGGTTTCGCTTTTTGCGAGACCAGAAATATGAAACCATTGCTCATTCGCATAAGTTAGTCTTCCTTCTGGATCAAGAATAGCTAGGCCACCAGGAGCAAGGTCACTGAATCTTCTAAAGTTTCGTTCAATTTCGTTGGCCTGGTTTGTGCGAAGCAAAAGTTGTTCAGAGAGCTCTGCACGATCTTCCATTTCCTTAGCGAATCTTTTTTGGAGTGTGATATCGGTGCAATATCCCATGATGCTTTTGATACTTCCATCCAAAGAAAATTCATGCTGGTAACTCGCCAGAATCCAATTCTCATACTCATCGCCAGTAATAGGATCATACCATGGCTTGACGAGTTGAAGCTCACCAGACCACGGCTGGTTACGGGTGGTGAGTTTCTCCCAACCCTTTACCATAGTCGGAATGCTAGACGGAGCAATTGTATCCATCCAAGCCATTCTAGAAGCTGTATCGCGAGGCAAGTTCGTTATCTCGTAATAACGATCGTTGGCTTCGAGCAATGTACCATCACTATCAACTGAAAATAAAGCGACAGGCGAAACTTCGGCGATACGTTGCAATCTTCCTTTTTGAAAAGCTAACTCTTCAGAGAGTTTCATGCGCTCTGCAGCAGCGATTTCTGCAGCATCGGTACCACGTCGGATCTCGTCCTGAAAAAGTGTCACTGAGGCTAGGGAATTTGCTAACTGTCTGTTCAAGATTTTGACGAAAGATTCGTAATCGGCATCATACGGTCTCCTGGGATTCACACCAACAACTAGAAAGCCCAAAGTATTTTCGGCGTTAGTTGGTCTCAGTGGCAATACCACAGCCTCTCGAGACGGCTCGCCGAACCCTCTCCAATTATATCCTCGTGTCAAGCCGACAGGAAGCATACTATCCGAAAGTGATATCAAAGTTGGTTGGCGTGTTTTCATGGCCTCTCTCAAGGCTGGCACATATCCTCCCAGATGTCTTTTTAGATCGAGTCTGCTTTGAGCGCTTATATGTCCTTCTGGAACACCCAAAGAGCCTTCTAAAATGACCGACTTGATACTCGTAGAACTATCAGAAGAAATCGAACCTCTCGACGATGTTGCATCATTCTCAATATCATCGAGGACCGAGTAAAGCAAAACAAATGGAAAGTCATATTCGTTCTCAGCAAGACCGCCAAGCATCAATTTCCAGAAATCCGACACAGATTGCGCAAGAGCTGTTTCTTCGCCGACTTTCAAGAGTGTTCTCATCCTTCGATTGCTCACCACCTTTTGGGTAGTCTCGAAAGGTGCATTGTAAACGCCCAGGAGCTCGGGGCTAGGGCCGGCTTTCCAGATGGGTGTCAAGCTCCAGGAGTAAAAAGTTTCCTCGACAAATCCTCGACGCTCTAGGGGTAACATTTGATCGGTCATGGCGATTCCTCTCCCTGTCTGTCTGCACTCGTTGAAAATCTCGCCAACCTCCTCCCAGATCTCTGCGAAAGGACCTCGAGCGCCTGTCCCCATTAAACGTGGATGCTTCTGACAAGCTACAGTCTCCGCGTAAGTTTGATTGTACAATAAGGTCAACTCTTCGCCCCAGAAAATGGCAGCGGGGTGGGGATTGGCCATCACCATGTTCACGATCTGGCGAAATTCGGGTGACCAGCTGTTCATGGGACCTAAAGGTGTCAAAGACCAGTCCACACCTCGAGTGAAGACGATGTGGTCAGAGAGATACCCTTCGGGACGCTCAATTGTCCAATCTGCAACTGGAGACTCGGTGACCCAATCTGAGGATGGTCCCTCGACCATCTCACTCATAATGATATCTTCATTTTGATTTTGTGCGCCACTTGCCGGACTGTTTAAATTTGACACTTGGACATCTTTCAATGCTGCAATTGTCTTGTCGGAGAAGGTGGTGCTTAAAGTTCCTTTTTGGCTGTGAGGGTAATTACTAAATAT